TGCTTGTGGCAATTATGTCCAGGCCATATGACCAGACAGATCAATGATTAGACTGGCGCGATTGTCCGAGGCGGACATATGAGTAGAAAGCTCTCGGGAATGTGGACACAGTCGGATGTCGTGGCTTCCCCTCCGACCTAGTTTATGTGTTTCTCTCCTCCTTTGCCTGTGTATTCAGGCTTGCTTACTTTCTCTGTGCCAGATCCAAATGTCAACTCGGATATACCGTAAAGTATCTCATCGAGTGCTGACTGACGCCATTTTTGCCAAGCCCCAAAATCCCCACTATTTACACTTTATTACCCCGCATTTAAAGGGGTACATTGACGATACAACATTTACCACTATGCTCTTTTACCTGTTATCACTACTATTACTAGCATTTCAATTGATGCTGCAATGTCTTCTAGTGATTCTGATACCTCTGTTGCTTCCAATAACTCTATTGCTTCTAAAACTTCTGTTACTTCTGTACTCAGCACTATAGTAGTTGAGGTCTACCCAGAAGACCTAGCTGCTGCTTGTAATACAGCTTGTAAGCCAGACGGCTGTGACGAAGCCACAGTCCGGCCCTGTGAACCTCCGGCTACCGAGCATGGCCCTCCGAGCTCCTTCCGGCCCTTTGAAGTACCAGCCCGGGCCCAAGAGGTCCGGGGGCTGCCGGCAAGCCCGCTGGAACTATTCCTCCAATACGTTCCGCAAGACCTCGTGGGGCAGTGGGCCCAGTGGACGAATACAGCACCGCCGTCGTCTAAAGAGGGCCCCTGGCTTAGAACGTCTAGAGTGTATAAGTGGCGGGAGACCTCAATAGAAGAGATCTACCTCTTCCTAGGGATCTTATTATATATAGGGATCCATAGGGAATCTAGATTATCAACCTACTGGTCAACCCAACAGCAGAGGGAGGATCCCATCCACCTATTTACGCGGTTTATATCCCGGGACCGTTTCCAACTACTGTTCCGGCGACTGCGGATATTCAATACTGCGGAATTCCAGCCCAGCCAGGCCCAGCCCAGCCAACGAGGGGGCCGGGGCCGGGGACGGGGACGGGGACGGGGCCAGGCCCGGGATCGAATGCCCGATGTATACCAAAAGGTTAACCAGTGGTCAGCCCATATCCAAAAGACTGGGGATTCCTTTTATACAACTGGTTCAGATCTTACAGTTGACGAGGCTATGGTTCGATTTGAGGGTCGGTCTCTTGAGACAACGACGATTAAAACGAAACCCATCCCAACTGGGTATAAGACCTGGATCCTTGCCCAGTCTGGCTACTGTATACGGTGGCTGTGGCACGTACACGGAAAGGGCCAATACGCATTGGTTCCCCAGGCACAGCCCGCCCAGCCCAGCCAGCCCGCCGGGCCAGCCGGGTCAGCTGCTGGAAAGCTGGCCCAGTTGACACCAACACAGCAGGTAGTAACTACCCTTATTTCCCTACTTCCAGCTGCAACCTACCACGTCTTCTTAGACAACCTCTTCTCCTCTGTACGTCTCTTTAGTACCCTACGGAAACAACAGGTTGGTGCTTCTGGTACCTGCCGGAAGGATAGTGGGATAGATGAGATTCTAGTTGATGAGAGAGAGACTGAAGGACGGGATATCCCCTGGGGCAAAATACACTGTATCCCTACGTTAGATGGGGAGGTAAGCTACTAGCCAGCCTAGCCCAGTATATCCAGCCCAGCCCAGCCCAGCCTAGTTAACTAGTGAATAGGTCAACCAGTTCACCTGGAAGGATAATGCCCTCGTACTATTCCTGTCAACTGTCTTCCAGAGCAGCCAGGAGGTTATTCGAAGCCGCCGTCGCCCAGCTGGGGATACTGCTGCTAAAAAGGCTGCCCGGCAAGTGTTTGGCCCAGACGTCCGCAAGGACCTTCCAGTCCCTAGGGCAATCGATGAATACAACCACAAGATGAATGGGGTTGATGTGAGTGACCAAATGAGGTCTTATTATCAATACGGTCACCCTATTCGGCGAGGGGGCTGGCAGTCCCTAGCCTGGAATTTCCTGCTGGAAGTAGTAGTTGTAAATAGCTTCTTATTACAGCTCTGGGGTAGCCCTAGGTGGCAGAAGGTGGAATCCAACTATCAATGGCGGCAGTTACTAGCAGCCCAGCTTATTCAACGGTTTGGACCATTAGCAGGCGGGCGTAGACTATCACGACCTAGACGTACAGACATGAGGAATACCTCTATTCCATGGGAACAGCATACAAAAGGGTCACGGAAGGTTAATTCGCCTTGCTCTTATTGTAGTAATCTGAGGGAAATAAGAAACCGCCAGACTCTAGGCGAGATATCTGGGAATACCCTCACGCGGCGTAAATATACGAGGAAGGGCTGCTTAGACTGTAACGTACCTTTATGTACCCAAGGGAATTGTTGGTACCTCTGGCATACGCAGAATATGTAGGCAATAGAGGTACTGTAACCCTATTGGTTAACTCTATAGATTTCCAACCCCTAATTGGCTCTACCCCGCCCTTGGCAAAAATGGCGTCAGTCAGCACTCGATGGGATAGATGTACCCCATTCTGTCATGAGTTATCCTGACTCCCCGGGGCTTAGAATCAATCAACAAAGGCTTGTTTCTGAAAAGAAAGAGTGTGCAACATGCTTCATTCCTTCGACCATTTCAATCACGATATGGAAACCTTGCGCATTTAATAATCACTCTGCCTCGATTTCAATGTCGCCCAGCGTTAGATGAAAGAGCTGGAAATGTAGCCTATGCTATGCACATGATCACCTTGAAGTCATTTCAGAGTAATACTCGTCGTGAACTCTTAGTGTAGGTACCTAGAGGTGTGCATGATGAAATGAGGCGTAACTTTGCATGATTATAAGTATGATGGACATCGATACCACTTTCTACAGGAGAGCTCTCTTTTTTTTAAACAGAACAGAAGGCGGATTCGGCCTTGAACATGTCTACTTAGCTATCACGATTGTGAGATCTTTGCTATTCTCAGGTACATATCCAACTGATCGAAGGCCGACAAGACCCGCGTAGAGTGCAAATGTCCTTCTCATGTTCTCTTTCCCTCGCTCGTGTATGATTAGAATACTGCACGAAGTGAATCCCGCTTGCACGTCATGACAGGCTTAGGAAAAGCGCCTGACCGCTCCTTTCTGTTGGATGAAGTTTACATGAATTGCCCTGTAAAATAAGTAAAGGAAGAAAGAGACACGTACTCAGCTTATTTTTTTTGCTTATCTGGTTGGTTGAAGAACACTTGCTGCCAAGAAGAAAGTGCGAGGGGTATGCTACATAACTATTAAGTGCATAAAAGAAAATGAGCTAAGTCTCCGTAACCACATGGCATCCAAGATCGACAACATCTTTTCAGCCCAATAGACTGCATGCAATTCTCATGGGTACGTTCTAGCTGAAAAATGGCGTTGGTTGTGAGGTATCGTTGCAGCCATATGTGAGCCGATCAGGCGGTGGAGGCTTGTGGGGGGCAGTCGTCAACCTAGATTCAGGCTGGACCTGCCGTCTCATCTCACCCCACAAACATTTCAATCGTCTGTGCCTGTGCCTATGTCTGTGCTAAGAAGTGATCGGCACCCCAAATGTTGGTCTCAAGATGAAACTTGGCGTTGGTTTGTCTCCAAGGCGTCTAGATGATTCTACGCCTGATTGATAGGCGGTCTTGAGTGAGCTTATTCGAAAGCAGCGTGGCAGCGCACATCAGCCCGGCCATTGACGATGAGACAAAAGTTGGATATTTCAGGGTTGCCACAGATCTCATGACGTTGATGTGTCTCAGTAGCCGCAGACTCCAGAGTCGGTACGACATCACAAGGGTCAAAAGCTCATGTTGGCTTGACATTTTCGAGGACAATGCCAAGGAAGAAGCAAGATGCGAGGTAAGCTGAACCACCCCCACGGCTGTATCTGTCCACTTGCAGAACTAGAGGTAGTTCAGGCTTATTTCCAGGCCAGATCCGGTTGATTGGGAAATGCGGTGTAGAACCAACAGCGCAACGTGTTGCAGACATGTAAATTGAGGAACAAAGAAATGGCACTATGACGAGGGTGCCATGCGATCAGTGGCTGCGGCGCAGCCACATCTGGCTGCGCCGTCGGCGAGTACGTACCGATATGCCATCGTGGGCATTGAGAAACCTGAGGTACAACGGTACGTTAAAATCCCGTGATCTTGGCCAATTTGGGAAGGCAGAAGCACCGGGGCAGGCGCGGGTGGATGTTACCTTATCGCGCGAAGGAGGAAACAACACACCGCGGGCCTTCCCTCCCTCATCGCATCGTTCTTTCCTTCTTTCCCGTCCCTGCGTGTGCCACAAAGGAAAAATACGTACCGGCTGAGTCAGGCTGATTGTTTGCTATCTCGGGGCGCGGCTCCAGTCCACGTCCACCCGACGACGTCCCCTCCCCCCCCCTCCACCTCCACCACTCTTCCGGCCGTGTCAATTTCAACCTCGATCTGCCCGTGTGTTCTCCTCATCCCATTCCATGTTTGATGTTTCCGATCCCTGCCTCGGACGCAGAAGGAGAACGAAGAAAAAAAATCCCGCCAAAGCTTGCTTCCTCCAGCATATTTCAGCCCGGTCAGAAAAACCGCCCCCATTTCGAGGTTGCACAGAGACGGCATCCTCCCGCCTGTTGTACCCATCCGGACCGCATTCATCTACGTATCGGAGATCGGGCCTGCATTTCTTCAGCAAATCTATCCATTCCATCGGCAATTAGCACACGTGTAGCCAGACGGTGGATCTGCACATCCGTCAACCGTACCAGGGAGGAGAGAGGAGGATTCCTTGGGGTGCGCGGCCCCTCACCGTGGCTCAGAAAGTAGGAAAACTTACCCGGTTTTCCCTGGCCTGTTTTCCCTCGTGTGAGAAAGATATCCGTACGGATATTGTATCCACCGCCAAACTTCCCGATTGCCCATTGTCCCTCGCCATCATCGCGCCGCCGGATGGGACTCCCGTGACCCGATTCGACGCGTCCGACGCTCGCTCGAATCATGGGCCAGAAACAGGAAGACGACGATCTGCCAAACGGTGATACCAGACGGCACAGCGAGCCCAGCATCAAGCGTCGCCGCATCACAAAGGCCTGCGATTTCTGCCATCGTCGAGGGCGGAAATGCAAGCCCGTGCCCGACGGAGGCGACCCCGCCTCCGTCGCCAGCCCTGGCGGCACCCCAAGCTGTCTGACCTGCATCGAACACGGCGCGACCTGCACATGGAACCGTGTTGCCGCCAAGCGAGGTGTCAAATCAAAGACGTCGCCCTCCTCATCGGTGAACAATAACAAGTCTCACTCCTTCGATGATGCCGATGGCGATAGGTGGTTCTACGACGAAAGCCGCCACGGGAGCCGGGCCCTCATCTATCGGCTCATCGTCATCTTTTTTGACACTGTATACCCTGTGTGCGTTCATCACACCCTCGTCTCTTTTGGTTTGCGTCTTCTGTGCTACATTAAATAAGCTAATATTTGCTAAAGATTTCCATTTTTCGACGAGGTGTCCTTACACAAGGAATGGGAGGCCACCAGTCTGTCATCCAGCAGGGCTTCATTCGCCCGGCTGATGGCTATTTGTGCATTGAGTTCGTGTCACGTCAGAGATGGCGCCTTGTTCAACCCGGATACGCCCACTCCTCTTCTCCTCGAGCATCATGAAGCCTACATGCAGGATGCAGAAAGGGCGATTCCAGAAAGAAATCGCGACATCAGCAGTTCCGAAGCCTTTGAGTATCTACAGGTCCTCGGCACTTTATCGCTGGCCGCCACACAGCTCAAAGACGACCCTCTCTTCCATGAGTGTATGGGCCGTTATCATACATTAGTAGCTCAGCATACCTTCCATTTCGAAGCGCGCTGGCCCTCGCACCTAACATACCCCGAGAAGCATGTAAGGCGGCAGTTCTTCTGGTCAATGTACCGCTTGGAGGTTCACGCTGCGCTGATCGACGACCACGTGGTACGGTGCCCCGAACTACAGTGCGCCGTTGCATATCCGCAGCAAGTTGACGGCCTCGCCGGCATCGTCGACGCGTCAGGGCAAACCGAGAAGACTCGTTTCAGCCATGGCAGCTGGCTCACCGGCTGGAACTACATCACCGACTTGTACCGCGTTCTGGAACACGTCATTGTTCGAATGCGCAAAGATCGACTGAAGACTCTCGACAGAGGGCCGATTCAACACGAACCTCTTATGCCCAACATTGACGACATGCTGCACCTGGTTCTTGGGAAGAAGAGCAATCTTCCACCATATGCCACAAGCGCTTACCCAGCGTCAAAAGACGTAGAAGCAAACCTATGTGGATTCCAAGTAGCCAATATTGCTTGTACCTTCCAGGTGGGTTCACTTCATTGCATGCCCAGTGCTCCCTTAACTAAGTTTCGACTCATAGCTACTCCGGATGGCGGCATTCGCATGCCACAACAAATTTGAAGATGCTTGCGGCGCTGCGCTCGAACTCGTACAAGAGATTACTCTAGTGCCGGTAGAGTACTTGCGGGCAATCGGATATCCCATGGTATGCTCCTCTCTTTCTTGATACGACCATGTGCTAATATTGCTACACAGTTGCAAGAGTTGGCAGGGGTCGCTCACTTGCTTAGCAGCTTCATTGCCCGCCAGTTGGTCGACTGGCAGTATTACAAACTTCGCGAAGTCATGTAAGTTGTGATCAGTACGCCCCCTATCATGTATGCATGTTGACTGTTCAGGACTTCCATGGCTACATTCCTCCAGAGCCTTGCACCGTCTCTTCCTTCAGCAAGTCAAGCAGGCGCACGAATTTTTCAGTACATTCACAAACTAGAAGAGATACTTCTTCGACAGAGTCAAGCAATACCAACAGTGACAGCAGTACCGGCAGTATCGGTAGCGCCGATTATGCATCATCAGCCTGAGATGACAAATGACCCGCGGGTCATGGACTTGATGCCTCAACCGCCGCCACAGCAGCAGCACCCAGGGTTTCTTGAGCAATATGCGTTACCGAATACTTCCTTTTACAATTTCCAAGCAGATTTTATCGGGAACATGTGGAACAATGCCTTTAACGATGGGGCGGAGATCGACTGGGCCGGCGCAATTGAGAGCTGGGGGACGACCTGATTTTGTCTTCATCCCTGCCAAATCTATCGTCATATAAATATATCAACATCATTTACCGTGGCTACTAGCCCTTGATCTTACATTCCGGATACTTCCAACCTCATGCTAACTGTTGCTCGTCCCTTGTTAATTCCGTGCTGCACACAGCAATTGTGGGCTTGGTAGCAACGTCAGGGAGAGAAAGTGCTGATTAGGTAGACGCCTCCTCCTCAACCTGCCGCGACAAAATCATCATCCCTGAACGAACATCGTCAATTGTCCTGATCGAAGGCGGAAGAGCCGAGAGTATATCCTCTTCCAATGCCGCCATACCTGCGCAGCCGAGGATGATGCTCTTCGCGCCGGCGTCGATCAAAGGCTTCGAAAATGTAGTAATACGGTCGACGACCACCCCCCGATCCAAACTCTCCAACTCAAGTGGACTCAGCCCAGTCGCTGCAATGCCAGTAGAATACCCCTCGAAACCGAGGTCAACAACAGAATCTGTTAGTGGCTTCTCCCATGAGGTCGCCGTCGTCACAATGCCGAACTTGCCTCCATTCGCTGTCGCTTCCTGTAGCGCGGCTTGGAATATTCCCATGACGGGAATCTTGTCCTCGAGCTGCTCGCGGAGGGCGTATACTAGCGGGTGATCTGAGAAGCAGCAGACAAGGACAGCATGCGGGCGGTGGGTGGAAATGTACTCTACGGCCCGGGGGAGAACGGCGTTGGTCGAGGATGTGGCCTGTGCGTGGTTCTCGATACACGAGGGGCAGTCGTCGAGGTCACGGCCGTCTATGAAAGTGACTTGGAGGGTTGGGGTGGAAGGATATAGAAGTGTGAGATCGTCTGTCATGCCTGTTGTTGAGATAGGGATGATGCACAGGAGCCTCATGGGCTGGTCTGTTGACGGCGCCATGTTGTTTGTCCGTCTGGGAGAACAAAGAGGACACACAGGTCGGAATGTCGCAGCAGGGTCTAGGCATTACAGCGACGCGCATAAACGGGACGGATTCTAGCTTTTATCAACCCGATCTTTGATATTGTCTATCAACAAACGATCCTGGACGTCTTTTGTTTCTGTGGACATGCCGTTTTCAGCGGCGATTGAAGCGGATAGGCGGTTAAGGTACCCTGGCCCAACCCGCCGGGTTCCGAGTCAATTGATCTCCCAAGGTCTGGATTCAGCAGCTCACCCGCCCGCAACCCCGCCTTTGCGCGTGGAACACCATGTCTTTTACTGCTTGTTCTCTCACGCATCGGCACTTGGGGACGATCTTCCATGCAGGGCTCGTACGATGTGGACCCTTTGGAGCTCCTTTGGGTCATTTTGCCCTCTTTGTGCTATCTAAATGAATGGGATTAAGCAGGGGAGCGTTCTTTGAAGTGGATGATGGCGCGGGATGGTGGAGGAGGGGGATGTCACGATTCACGAGGCGAGATGATGAATTGGCGCATTGTGGATTGATGGTTTTACTAGGGCTTGATGGGAGTAGGCACCAGGGTATTGATTGAGCTGGTGGTTCAATCCAATAAGTCTACATGATGGCCACCCACCCTCTCCCTTGTGACATCTTGAATCCTCTCTTATCATCATTCTGGTAGTGTGAAATATGCACCCTTCCAGTATGAGTTGCAACCAATACCGGCGACGCTAGGAAGACTTGCAGATGAACCGTCACATTTAGCACCTTGTTCTTGGGTGTATCAATTCTTGATGGGCCAAAGGTGAACTGCAGATTGGGTCGACGGCACGCTGCCGCTTCATCACCTCTTCCGACACGTCACATCTCAACTTCCTCACACTCGAACGCATAATAGAAGTGATGGTAAGTGATTAGGGCCATCATGGCATGTTCAGTTCGAGTAGAGACCGCACAACAAAAGGTATCCCGCGCGCTATAAGGAAAAGACAACAGCAGGCTCGTTATCATAACACACCACTATACCGACCTATTCCCTCACACACTCTTCTCGTCGGGCTCCTCACGAATCTTGGTAGTCGAATCATCCCCTTCAGACGCCTTTGAAGACGACGACGGAAGCTGCTCCCCGTCCAGCACCGGCCTCTCCGCCGGTCCAAACGTACCAAAATAGTCCGCGTCGTCAACCGCATGAGTGTCCCGAATCGGGAACGCAACATGCAGTAGACAATACGATACCACGGCCAGGGTACAGCCCAACGGCCAAGCGAGGTAATACAAGTGCGACCACCCCGCCTTCTCAACCGTCGGATCCTGCACCCGCTGCACGAACCCGGGCAGCAGCGAGAACGTGCCCACCGTCCACGACACGCCGGCCCGCCAGTTCACGCCCCCGCGGTACCAGTACACGCTCCGGCTGCTCGCCTCGTACAGGTCCGTCAGCTTCAGCCGCCGCGCGCGGACGAGGTAGTAATCTGCAAACATGACGCCCGTCATGGAGCCCAGGAAGACGCCGTAGCCGCCCATGACTGTGAGGAACTTGCTTGCGCCGTTGAGGAGCTGCCACGGCTGCATTATGAAGGCTACGGCTGCGGTTAGGTAGCCGCCGCGGCGGAGGTTGAAGTAGCGCGGTAGTAGGGCGGAGAGGTCGATGCCGTTGGAGAGGGCGTTTTCCGCGACGGCGATGCCGAATTGGGCAAAGATGAAGGCGAGGGCCGCGAAGAAGACGGCGGCGCGGGCGCCGGCGCTGTTGTCGTATTGGGATTGGAGGGCATCGAGGAAGCGGTAGGGTTCCCAGACGAGGGTGCCCTGGGTTTTTGGGAACAGCTGGGCGGCGCAGGAGGTGCAGACGATGCCGACGAAGGCGACGAGGATGGTGTTGACGGGCACGAAGACGAGCTGGGAGGCGAGCTGGTCGCGAGGACGGCGGGCGAAGCGCGTGAAGTCGGACTGGGAGAAGATGTGGGTGCTGATGCCGCCAATGTTTGTGCAGATGCCGAGGGCGAGCATCCAGCCCAGGTGGGAGCCCGTTGCTTGCTGGACGCCGGCGGTGGAGTTGATGTCGTGGAGCATGGGGCCTGCGCCGCGGGCTGTGGCGAGACACCAGATTAAGAGGACGAAGACGGTGGGGATGACGGTGCAGGCGGCGATGGCGAAGGGGATGTGGTAGCGTTCTGGGCGGATGTAGATTAGGGGCAGACAGAGGAGGGAGAAGATGATGAAGCCGATGAAGTCTGCGACGGTCATTGTGCCGTTTGCAAGGGGTGTATCTAGGTTGTTGAAGGAGGGAGCCATGGAGGCGATGAAGGTGCGTACGCATTGTCCGCCCCAGTAGACTTGGGTAGAATACCATATAAACGAGAGCGCGATGCGCTGTACGAGCGGGAAAAGAGCGCCGCGCAAACCCCAGGAGGCCTTTTGCAGGATGGAGAAGCCGATATGCCACTTTGCTCCCGGCCCACCGGCGAGAACGCAGATGAGGCCGACAAGGCAGTGGCCGATGATGACGGTCAGCATGGCCTGCCAGACGTTGAGGCCGAGGGCGATGAGAGAGGAGCCGGTTGTCCAGCCGCCGATGTTGAAGGAGCCGGTGACGACCCAGAGGCCGACGAATTGCCATGGTCCGTAGGTGCGGCGGGAGGGCGGGAGGGGCCGAGTGTCGCGGTTCATGTAGGCCGTCGTTGCCACGTCCGTCTCGCGGGGGACTTGGACGCGGCGGAGGAGGGCCGATGCAGTCGTCATCTTGGCTGTTGGCGGGATAGATCCGCGCCGGGGGTTTTAGCCCGAGAAGGCACCGTCGACAACGTCGATATTTCAGACCAGGTCTTCTTTGCTAGTTCCTCTAGTTCAACTTTTCGATGCTGGGGTTCCGCTGGTGAAGCGGTTGCTGTGAGAGGTGTTTGTGGCGTTCAACTTGAGGAATGTGTGATGTATGCCGTGACGCCGGCTCTGCGAACTACTGCGGTGTATGCCCACCCGTTTGGCAGAAGGGACGGGGACCAAGGCGGGTGAATGTGGAGGGCGGGAAGATGGGGGAGGGGTCCGCTCAGGAGGTCACAGGATGGGATGGGGGCAGTATGGATACAGTAGTGAGTGAGTCCGGCCCTCTTCAATGAGATATGAGACGGGCTGGACCTTGGGAATGAGGCGGTGCGGGAGAGATCTGGAAAGGGGAGACGGGGCACGATGGGGTGGGCGCTAGACCAGGCCGTAAGCGGACCGGACGATTCTGAGGCGGGCTCTTTTTTCTTCTTTGGTTCTCTTCTTTAGCGTTTAGCTTGTCAGAGTTTCGTACGAAAAGCTTAGTTACGTCGCACAGATCGTGGAGTGTTCAGTTCCGTGTAACGCGTCGCGGGAAGCGGGCAAAAGGCTTAAAGTTGGAGGCCATGAGGGGACTGGGCCGAAGTGAAAGAAGGGGGCAGGGCAATGTTGAAGCTGGAGAAACACAGTGTGATTGGAATCTGGGATGTTCTCCCCGGCTGATACTTGTATCTCTCGAGCGTTCCCATTCGATTTCAATGCCTACGTACGGGATTTGATAGTACCGGGACTCTGGGTCTAAAGGAGCTGGATGCTGGACGCTGAACCTGTCCCGGGCAAAGGGTTGGGCAAAGCGGGCGAGACAGGAATCCCAGAGACGTGGTTAGCGATTGCCCAACGGGCCACCGACAGGCTGACAGAAAGAAAAAAGAAAAGAGGGAGAGGGAAGTGGTCTTACTGTGTATGGGTTCTCATACATGATGGAGGGTGCCCCTGCGAGCCCTGGCTGACCAAGTGCAGGGTCAGCTTTCACCGTTGAGACCACCTCAGGGGTTTCCAATGATCCCAGGGCAATAGTGTAGAGGGCGGCCGGGTTTGCTCCAGTCGTTTGAAACAAGATATCAGCACGTCGCTCTACGAATAGCGGGACTTGAAAGCTGACGGAGGCTACGGGAACATCCATGGCGAAAAGGGAGAATGTGGTTGGGGGTTGAGAACTTGGGAGGGGGGGAAAAGGTTCTAGGGGCAAGGTTCGTATGAAGCTGGAGGAGGCGCCATGTAATACTTCGTAAGCTGAACTTCCAGGTTTACGGCAAATATCATGTTTGATATCATGCAGTTGGAAGAGAACCTAGACAAATACACTGAACACCCCCGCCGTCCCTTTCGGACCCTTTCCCTCGTGGGATGCGCGGTCAATTTCACGATCCACGACGTGCCCACCCCTCCACTGCCATGCAGAACCTGCAGCAGTGACGATGATCCCTGGCCCCGAAGTGTGGGAATGTGGATAGGGCAGAAGGGGTGCGGACCAGGCTCTCGGTAGGGAGGGGAACAGAGAATGGCGCCAGGGTCTTTTCGGGTTCTAGTTCACGCCGGGGGTGTTTTTCTTTTTTTTCTTTCCTCCTGCTTACGGGTATCCATACAGTATTATTACGTGTTGGATCTGGAGGGGGGAAGGGGGAATGGGATTTTGTTTGCTCGTCAATTTCGCCTGGCGTGTTGGAGCAGGGCGGGTTGACGCCGACCAACTATACGAGACGTTGAAGACAGGGTCATTGACCTGATTCTCCTTTAGATTCTAGTCTTTGACTGAGTCTACTAGGCTGCATGTTTGCTCCCACACCATTGCCTCACATCCGCAATCACATTGCTAGATATCAACTCCGTACAGATACCAATCAGGCTTCATCGCCATAATGGCACCTATCCCACACAGGAGGAAACAGGAAAGTTGAGGGAACTGTCGCATTCTGGCACTCTGGCATTCTACAGCTCAACAGCTCAACAGCCACTGTCTCGCTGTCTCGGCCGCAAATTCATGTGGCTCGGGAATCGGCAGCGAGTCGCGATTGGCTCGAGGCAAGACCATCGCCCGCTCCATCACTTTGGACCCCTCTTCTGAGACATGACTTTTGACGGCTTCAGTCAAGAATCGAGATCACGATTGCTCCTATCTCCGCATTCTGTTTCGTCGTTTCTGCGGAGACTTTCTGCATGGGAACTGGCACCGGTCATGGGGCCACTCACGCGGGCACTGCCGTTTCTTCGTCACACCTCTCGATCGTCAACCGCGGCCGTGAACCCCCGGCCCCTCCCCTCCCGTCGTCCATTCCCCAAAAAGAAGAACATTTAATCCGGTTTAGGGTTGCGTCTGGCGTCTGTCCGGCGGTCACTCTCCCCTTCTCTTTGGCCCGTCGAACGCCTCGAGGACCCCGAAACCTGACGAGCCCACGTGTGTTTCCGCAGCGAGGCTCCCTTGAGATGGGCAAAAAAGCAGAGACAAAAAGGCAAAATGAGCGGGCTCTGAGATGGAGAATCTGCCGCTGTTTCTTTGATTCTACAGCTTTAACCGCCTCCGAGACCGCTGAACCCCGATTCCCCACGAGGTTATCTCGAGGTCGGTCCGTCGGAAGAGGGGTTCATTTTGCTAGAGAGAAAGATAATCGTTCCAAGAGTTGCTACTTAACTCGAGGAGCTTGGACATTTTATCGCTATCTGCTGTGAATGTGGCGTTCGCCCAGTACCGCATGCATCATTCATTCCATCCTGCATACTTTTATACCCGCGCTTCTTTGCCTCCTGTCGGCGCGCAACTCGGATCGGACGAAAATCTGGCAGCCTTATTACGCGCGATATTACAAGAAACCACATTCGCTTGCTTGCTTCTGCGGACATTGAAATCAAATATCCACGTCTGAACCCCCTGCGTAATCTTTACTCTTTGTTCTAGAACGAGAAGGGGGTTGTAAGAATCCCGTCCCCCCGTCTTTCAACCCCGGTTTGCGCGTCTGCGCGGTGCGCCGGAACCAACGAGCCAACCATGACCGCGGCCGCAGCGGCGGCGTCGTCGGCGGCGGCGGCGCTACCAGTCGTTGACCTGCGGTCCTTCGACTCGGTCGAGGACCTGGCGGCCGACCTCATGCGCGTCGGCAAGGACCCCGGTTTCTTCTACGTTGTTGGACACGAGCTGCGCGACGACGTTGCAGCCGACATGTTTGCTCTCGCCGAGACTTTCTTCAGCTCACCCCTTGAAGAGAAGTTGGCGTACGCCAACGGCAGCGGCGATCTGGTGAGTTTTCTTGTTTTTTTTTGTGTTTTCTGCATCTCGCTCGAATTGTCTTGTCTCTTTCCCGTTTCTCTCCCCTGCTGTATTTCAAGGGCGTGGGGAGTATGGGTGATACATGTACATGTTGTTGGACGAAGGTGATCAGCGATCTTTTGCGGTGCTGACTGCGTGGTTTGATCTCGCTTAGGGTTACACCGGTATGAGAGAAGAAACGTACGTTTTGCCCAGCCCAATTCACCTTGCTTGCTTATTTCCTTCTTTCGTAAAGAAGTCGTGAGATCCCGCTAAGACGTTGATGTTTGTGGGGTGGAACAGGCTTTCTGGAGCAGGGCCGGGCGACGTTAAAGAGTCCTTTTACCTATCAGACCCCGGTAAAACGACGCAGCTACTTCCAACCGAATTGGAATCCCGCCGGGAAACAATGGCAGCCTTCTTTGCGGGTTGCGATAGCCTCGCAAAGACTCTTTTGGAAGGACTTGCAGTTGGACTAGGCGTGAGTGCTGCCACTTTAATTGTTTTACATGGGATCTTGTTGTCAAGACACGATCAAAGCGAGGGGGTGGAATTAACTAACCTCTTCCCTTCAGATGCCAAGAGATTTTCTATCAAAGGCCCATACTGGCGAAAGTTGGCGTATGCGTCTCATAAACTACCCCCCGGTATCCCAGGTCTCATCATCCACAACTTCCTCCTCCACCTCCCCAGACGACGCCCCGACCTCCCACGCGAAGGATATCCGAGCGGGCGCCCACTCCGATTACGGCTCACTCACCCTGCTTTTCCGCCAGCCCTCAGACCAGGGCGGGCTTCAGGTCCTGCGAGGAGGAGGAGGAGACAACAACGCCGCTGCGTGGGCCGACGTCCCCTGCATACCCGACGCCGTTGTCGTCAACATAGGCGACGCCCTCGAGTTCTGGACCGCAGGGAGGCTGCGGTCCACGGTGCACAGGGTCGCCTTTCCCAGGTCCGCGAGCGAGAATGTCGCCAGGTTGAGCATACCCGTCTTTATACAGCCTGACCGCCATGTCGTGTTGGCGCCGATCAAGGAGGACCGAAAAGATGACGGCGGCGCGGATGCCGAGTTTTTGGAGGTTTTGAGGAGAAAGGGGTATGAGAGTGCCGAGCCTGTTACGAGTCGGGAGCATTTGGAGCGGCGGATACGGGCGACGTACGGCAAGGTTTGATACGCATTTTCCTCGGATTCATCAGCGTTGTTGGTAAGCACGGCATGACAGCGAGCATTTCCTTTCGATACGTCATATTATTCCAAGTTTGAACCTCGCGCTCGGTAGTTGAGTCTGCAAATATCTGTACGAAGTACATAGTTTAGGTAGCACCGGTTAATGTACGGAGCTGATTACGCCAAGGACATATACGAGAAGAATAGCACACTCTGCATACTACACTTCACCAACCATGCGTCCAACATTGGCAGGCCTTGCGGAGTTTTGAGACCCTGATAACCAACCCCCCTGGACCGGTGACCGGGAAATTTCTTCAAGCTGCATATAAAGATGGGAGATGAGACAACTTCGCCGAATCACCCCCACGCTCACGCTTTCCTCGGCGAGAATACCACGTTGAGTGGTGCGACGGTCAGCGTACCCGTGTCCATGTTGCCCTTTAGAAACTTTTCCCCTGTCTGCCCCTGTGCAAATCGCAAGTTGTACTTGTGCACGATTGCGCTGGTCACAAATCGCGTCTCCAGGAGGCCGAGCTGTTTCCCGATACATACGTCGTGTCCTGGCAAGTGAAATGAGCAAAGTCGTTCGGATTAAACTTACTTAGTGGGAAAGAGGCAGTCCGTAACTCACCTGTCGAGAATGGTACGTAGACTGTGGCGTTCTTGACGAGTTCTGGTCGGTCGATCCATCGTTCTGGGATGAAGTCATCTGGTCTCTCAAAGAACCTGGCGTCTATGGCGGGGAAGATCATATCAGTAATCCATCCGAGACTACGACTTTCGCTTGCCAACTCCCGTCATCAGATTAGACTCACCTCTATACTGCGTATACGATGGTACAAAGACAATTGTATCTCCAGGAAGCCAGACGTCGTCTACCTGAAGCCCTTCGGGCGGCGTCATCCGCTGAACGCCCGATGGCACAGGGGGGTGGAGACGTAATGACTCGTCGATACAGGCCTGAAGATATCGCAGCTTTGAAAGAGCAGCATGCTCGGGCTTGTCGTGTTCTCTAAAGTACTCATCGATTTCGTCTTGAAGCTTCTTGTACTCTTTCGGATGCCGGGCCAGCTCCATGAATAGACATGATAGGACAGCTGCTACGGTGTCGCTAGATGTTATTATATCCAGTCAATAACTTGTCGCCAAATTAACAAGATCAACCACGGCTAGGGCTTTACCTTCCAGCAACTGTAATCAAGATACAGTCCCCATACAAGTTAAGCATGTCCTGAAAGGAGTGCTCCTCCTTGGCCTCATAATCCTCCAACACCCAGGTGAAGATATCAGGGCTTTCGGGCTTATTCTGAATCCGCTGCTGCACCTGGCCTGAGATCCACGCCTTAAACTTCTTCACGCCGGCGTTCCAGATAGCCATCTTGCGATACAACGGCAGAGCCCACATGGCGTGCGTGAAGCGCCCCACGGCCTTGGTCTCATCGTGCAGCGAGTTCATGTAGAAATGAGCGACGCCGTCCTCGAGCATACGGAACCCGTGGCCGAGGGAAAACTCGCCCATGACGTCGAAGCTGTAAAAGTTGAACCAGAGAGATACGTTGAACTTGGTGCCGGCGCTTGCTTCGATGCCGGCGAGAAGTTGGTCCGTGTACTTGAGAATGCGGGGCTCGTAGTCACGAAGTGCTGCGTCGCGTTGTTGATCAGTCTCTAAGATAAAAACCTCAACCGTTTCTGTCTAGATCCTGAAGATCACTTACATTTCGAGGTAAAGCCATACTCCCATGCTTTTCGACGTCTAGAATGCGCCTCCTTATCGCGAACCATCTGCATTGAGACCATAGGATGGAGCAGATTGTACCACGGTCCCTTCATACAATCCGTATCCAGAAAAACGGCATCAATGGCACCAAGCTTGTTTATCGAGAGCTCAGTCGGGCCGACCCTCACCACATCGCCGTACTTTTCGTGCAGCTTTCGCACATCCTCGTGGAGGTGCATCTGGTTCCAGATCTTGAACGTGACGTAGAGGTTCGTGAACTTAGCGAAGAATGGGCCGGGGAACCGATGCAGGCGGTGAAAAAGACCTCGGTATACTAGGATGCTCGTGTAGATGCCTGCTGTGAGCGATGAGAATAGTATAGCCGCAGCTTTTGCAACTTGAGCCAAGCTTGTTGCTTCCATCGGGGAGATAGAAACCATGGGCGCGAGGAACGGCACAGCCATGGTTGCTCCGACGGTCGCTGCATAAGCGATCGTGAAGTTCGTGAGGATGCGTTGTGCCGAGAGATCCCACTCGCCGAATCGGAAGACGGAAAGATGGAGTATGACTCCGATGAGAAAGGAGAGCCCGCAGGCTTCTGGAGACTGAAGAACGTCGCTTGCGTACATCTTGCAACGACTCCGGTCAGTTTGCCATCTTTGTTGATCTTGACTAAACTTACCGAAGACTCAGAGATATGGGCAAGTTGTGAGTTGGCCACGGCGTATCTTGGTTCATAAGCATTGCAAGATTCATCTGATGTTGATGACCATCAATAACCTTAACCTGGCAGGATGCCGTGCTTCCCGCCGTACTTCCCCATCCTTGCGGAAACTTAAAGCCTGCCTGCAAATGACATGGCCGACTCAAGCTGCGGGATGTAAGAGAAGCATCAAGTAACGCATTGTAGCATCAACCTGTCACACAGAAGTATCAGCTGAAGCTCGCAGCCAGCGTATTCTGTTTCGTCTGGAGTACCTATGCCACGGAACACTAGCCCGTGTCAGGCCCATCCCAGTACACTCGTTACAACGATTGTCACACTATGCCTATGAGACAATATGGTCTTACACAAGCATGACTAAGTTTGCCAAGGATATGCCAGTATAAAGGGTCTTCCACTCACTATATAGATAGTCGGGATATTCCCATAGCCACTCGTTCTTCATACTCATCAATACATCCCATTGACCCCCTACCTGATAATCGCTGCCCAACAGGATCATTGTTCCCCGCTATTACCTCTTTGAAACAACCATCCATACCTCCGTTGAAAGTTACGAGAATATTACCATGTATTCGCGCTGCGTTGCCTATTACTGGCAATCATGATTACGTTACACGAAAGTCTGCGGTGTGTAAGTTGCATCTGGTGAAGGCTTCAGTGTCCAGTGTTGTTGGGTTGCCGCTAGGTAACTTGGGGAGCATCCGGCGATAAGCGTCTCCACGGGGCCGACAATTAACCGAGGCGAACACCGGGCCGGGCCGATCGCTACAACCATAAATCACCTTGACATATTTGCACGGCGTCGAGTCCAAAGATCACGATCAGCCAATCTTCTACTGTCTTGAATACTTTCCGGGGGGTAAGAGCACAGACTCCAACGACAAATCCAGGACCAACACGCCCCAGGGGCAGATTTTGGGTTCACGATGGTCGCACCGGCGGACGGCAAGACATCGCCACTACTCTCACTCACCGCAGGAGGCATCGCCGGCGGTGTGGAAGCCGCCTGTACGTACCCATTCGAATTCGCCAAGACGCGAGTGCAACTCTACGGACACCAGAAAGGGACAAGAAATCCATTTGCAATCGTTCTGCGCGTTGCCCGCGAGGAGGGGTTGTCGTCACTGTACAAGGGATGCAGCACCCTGATCGTGGGGTCTATCGGAAAAGACGCGGTGCGGTTCGTCGCGTTCGACAGCATTCGCTCCGTGTTTGAGGACAAGAAGACTCATACCCTGGGACCCTTGCAAAGTATTGCGTCAGGAATGGTAGCTGGGATCGTCAGCAGCACGATCATTGTCACACCCAGCGAGCGCATCAAGACAGCACTCATCGACGATGCCAAGACGACGCGACGGTTCAAGGGCGCGATAGACTGCATCACGACTTTGACGCGAGAGCAGGGATTTTTGAAAGCCCTTTGGCGCGGCTATATCACAACGACACTGAAACAGATCGGTACCACGGGATTCCGCCTGGGTAGCTACAGTACCATCAAGGACTTTGAGCGCAGCAAGGGGATCAGCCCTGAGGGCCCGATTATGAGCTTCGCAAACGGCGCGCTAGCCGGCACAGTCACGACTGTAGCAACGCAACCTTTTGATACGATCAAGACGAAGGCGCAACAAGCCAAGGCCGTGGGCACGATGGAGTCGTTCTGGGCGATCATGGCCGAGGATGGAGTCAAGGGTCTTTGGAGAGGGACAGTCATGCGGCTTGGTCGAACAGTTTTGGCCGGTGGCATTCTGTTCACGGCTAACGAGCAAGCCTTGAAGGGCTTGAAATTATTACTGGGAAAATAATGATGTGAATTGAGTACGAAACGAATACGAACCCATGGGCAAACAAGACGAGAGATCAACAAGCCAGCTACCCAGACATAGACAAGCGATAGATAGATCTAAGGTGTTGGTGTAGTGCAGACAGAATCAAGCAGAATATCTGGCATTCAGACAGTTGCCTGATCCTCCAAAGTTTGCGCAATTTTGTCCCAAAGACCTACACGCAAGTTGCCGCCTCACCAAATATTGCCATCTAAGTCCTTGCCAATTATCGGACCCGCAAATCTAAGTGAGAAGCCGCGCACATAGTTCGCATTGAGAACGAGCGAGGGCTTCCCAAGTTTGTGCGGTTGAGCAAGACAGGTCCACCCAGGCTTGACTACGGCGGCAGAGAAGTCTGTTTCGAAGAACTTGGCTTTGCCCCAGTTTGAAAGTAGAATCTGATGCATGTTCTTGTCACCAAACATAACTGCAGAATGCTTCTCTTCTAGTGTTTTGCGAGCTTCAATTTGCTCTCTGGTCCCTTGCTCTTGGATAGATCGTCGAACCGCGGCAGCCGTGTAGCTCAGTGGCTTTGTCCGGAGGTCCTTTGCGGTGATTCGGGTTATGATCAGGGATGTGGCGTTTGATAAAAGCGCGGTCTTCTCTGGGAGAATATCCCGAGCAAGCGCAGGACATATATTCAGGACGTTTCCGAGGATAACTGGTTTGCTGCAGTTTGCAGGGAGATGCTGCGACCATAGGCGGCCGATGAAGGCGGTAACGATGTCTCCCTCGCTGGCGAATAACTTGTCTGGGCCGGCATTTTGTGCGCTCAACTCTTCTTTGACCTGTTCCTTGAGTGCTTCGATGTGCGCTGCCGGTATACAAGCAATGCGGGTTTCTTCGGAAGGATGACGAATGATCTCCCAAAGATACCCCAGAATGAATTGGATTAGTCCCCAAACTGAGAGTTGCTGGTCGGCCAAAACGAACGGCTCTGTAGGGTTCTTGCCCAGCTCTGCCAGGGGATCTGTGTCAACCCCATGGAAGGGTTTGACATCGTTGTCACGGCCCTCGAGGGTGGCAGTCCACGCGATCAGAAGTTCTTGCCTTCCGATCCCATCGAATAACGTGTGCAACCATGTCAGACTCACAAGCGTCGCGTCATTGAAGGACTCGATGTGCAGACCAAGCTGAGGTTCATCGCGATAGATGTAGTCTCGCATCGATTTGGGGCTGTCTGGCCTTCGCATTAAGTCCTGGAACCTTTCCGGTGGAGTCTCTATCACTGTTGGCTTTAAAGTCGCTTTCGGCAACCGCGAAGCAATTGGATGATCCTGGATGCTGCGCCCGTAGTCGAAGTGGGAGTACGCAATAGCTGGCCTTTCCGGGTCGTAAAGCTCAGGGATATGGTACTCAAGCTTGTTCTGAGACTGTCACATGTGTAAATAGCTGTTCCGGCACATGATCAAACACCTAAGACCGGAGCTTACGTTCAGCCTAAGTCTGGCACCAAGCTTTCACCATCCCTCACGGCCTAATAGCTTCGTAAGCGACGAGCGCAGCCTTTCTGGGTCCAAGACATCGTCGAAGCGCATCATGAAGCCCATGACAATGCCTCTGTTCAAGGCACAGTCATCATTGGGGTTCAAGGGAATGATTGTGTCCGTGGCTACTGTTGCTGGTGCCACGGGCTTAGCTTTCGAGAATATGCTGCCCATCTTGGCGACTATCCACGAACTCAAAAATGACAAAGATGGTCAGATTTCGAAAGTGGTCCGACCAGGGCGGAATCACGCTCATATTTACGGCAGTTGGAAATTTTACAAGGATCGAGCGGGCAGGGTCACTTCCTTCTTCCCGACCTGCATGACAGCCGTTGGAAGTCTGGACTTACGGTCTTGTCACGGTTGGTCTAACAACTATAAGCGCACTCGCCGCTAGTGTCGTATCTACCAGTCGGTTGGAGCCCTTTAATTACTCCGGGTGAAGGTCATTTCCATTGTTGATGCTCTTGCCACATTGAGTTGGGAGCACTGCATGATGCAATGCAGAAGAATCCTAGCATGTGACTGTTTTAATCCTGGACAAATCATTTCAGATGAATCTGATTTGCTCGTTTGCTAACATTCTTCTCTGTCCCATGACCTTGACACGACAATCTTCCCTCGCAAGTTCCGTTGCGCATTTTCTAAACACGACAACCACCTCAACGTCGAATCTCCCCAGTGCCGAGCATACTTGCCTGACAATGGGAACTTGCCAAGACGATAACCGCTCCAGGGGCGAATCTCGCTTTGTTGGTCCGTCATCCAGTTGGGCGGGGCCGCCTCAATCTTGGCCTGCTCCGTAAATCTTCCAACCAACAGCCAGCTTACGATTTCCGGGAAATCCTGAGCTGCAGTAAAAGCACTCCTGCACGACCCATCTGTCTCATACCATATTCTTGCTCCTGCATAGACGAGCATTTTGACAACGTCTAGCCGACCCCCGTGAGCTGCTGCCATGAGCGCAGTGCCAGTCAGACCGCCCTCAAACTCAATGTTGCAACCCAAGTCCAGCAACAGCTTGACCTCATCAACTAGTCCGAGCTCAGCTAGGAAGCACATCACGCCGAACGATCTTACGCTTTCTTTCCCGTCGGATTCAGTCATGTCTCGTATGGACGCGTGTCCACTTCGCCGGTACAGTAGACGGAGAGGACCCCGAGAATGAACCCGATCTTCAACAGCTGTACCGTGGACGAAAGAGAGAATCTTCCAAAGATCTGATGCAGTCATCCCGGATGCTATTGAATGACCAAAATCAGAGTTGAAGATGAAAGTCGCAAGCCGGCTTTCGAGACACGCCGGTGCCCAGAGGGGTACGCCAAATCTCCCCACAGTCTGGAGTGGTATGCCTGACCTGAGCATCAAAACTGCCACTTCCGTCGACCCGCACACCAGAGACGTGTCAGCGTATTGAGAACATTTGACATATGCCCCATTCTCTAAAAGGAGGTCTACCGATCTTTCCCATGGTAGCTGAATCGCCACTTCGAGAGGGGTGTACCCGCGATGATAGTCTCTAGTTGCAAGTGAGGCCCCATGCTCCAAGAGAAGGCGTGCAATGTCGAGTTCGTACTCTTCAACAGCTACATGAAGTGCAGTTCCCTTCATAACGGTTTGTCTGTTGACCTCTGCGCCGCACTCAAGTAGAAGACGCACAAGCTCCATGTTGCCAGAACCGACTGCGACATGGAGGGGCGAGATGGCGCGGGCTTGTGAAGACCATCCAGTTCTATTCACAAGTTCGTGAACCAAATTTCTGTGCGATGCATTGCTGATCCCAGCGGCGTGAGAGAGGAGCACTTTCAATGCCTTGGGGCACTCGCGATCCACAGCTACATGTACGGCTATGGAGTTGTCCAGCAGCCAGATCATGTCCTCTTCAGGGATAGAGCATAGCCATGCCGAAATCTTTTCGGATAGATTGTCCTCCCACATGAGCATGTCAAGACTGGTAGATCCGAATGATGGCCATGAATGTTGCCTGGACATCTTGTCATCATCGCTACCGGACGATGAGGACGAGTAGGAAGAGGTGAAGTTGTCCGCAGTGTTCTCCCCGAAATGGCGAATCCCGTATTGTCTAAAATGTCCACACTTATGTCGGGCGCAGGTAGTTCCTCGGAAACTTGCTCCGTGTTCGACGAGAGCATCGACTATATCCGCAGACAGGTCGGTTCGCGACAAAGCGAAAATGAGAGCTGTGCACGTATGGCAAGACCTCATCTTGATTTCCGCCGGGCAACCGTTTTTAAGTAATGTAACGCAAGTTTGGGTGTCAGCGTCAATGATGGCCCTTTCCATGGCTTGAGAGAGGGCAGACAGCCAATGTTTGTCGAAGCTTTTTTCTGCGACTGTCTCCAAACTTTCACGAATCGACATTTCCACTCGTTGAGCAAAGTATCGGTTGATCTTGGGTATTGCCAAGTCAAGAGGTGTTTCTCCTTTCTTTGTTTTCATATGAGATGCGCCCAGTTCCAGCAGAAGATCAGTAATTTGTTCGTTCTCAAAGTGGATTGCAAAGTGCAAGGGGGTCCATCCGTCTTTGTCTTTGGCGTTGATGTTCGATCCCCGAGAAACAAGCTCTCGAATAGTGTCAACCTGACCAAGGAATGTTGCAAAGTGTAAAGGCGTTCGCAACTGTGCGTCAGCAATTTCGAGGTCCGAGACATAGGCGCGATCCAGCAAAAAGGTGACTGTCTGTACTGAAGCAATTACCGCGAGGTGCAGAGCCCTGAGACCGCGGTAGGGCTTGATGAATGAAGGAGCTGCTTTGACACTCAAGGTCACCTCGACCTCGAAGTTCCAAATAGGTTTGGAGCAGGAGGATGCAACCATTTGGTCAATGAATTCACTGTAGCCATGCGCGCACGCCCATGCTACTGGAGTCCACCCAAAAGTATCAGCGGTGGATAGCGTATCTGGTGATCCACGTCGAAGCAAGAGCCGTGCCGTATCAAGATATCCATATCTTATATGGATACTGAGAGCTGAAAATTTGCCCCTCTTGCTGAGTAAAGCGCAGTCGATTTGTTCGTCGAGTAGTCGTTGAAGTAGGCTGAACTTTGGGTTGTCGCCTGGCATCCTCAATGCTGCAAATCCTCCCGGTCCTAATTGAACGGATGAAGGTAGATGCGGCGATTGACTGAAAGTACTCATCGGGGACATGGTAGGGCGGAACACGGGACTCTTTACGAATAAGCCTCCCTGAGCGTAGGGCATTCCAAGTAGGTGTAGAAGACTGTCAGAGCCCTCCCGGATAGGGGCTAGTAAGAGGTAGTAAGGAGTCCAAGCAACAAAGGAACAGCTCAGATATATATACAGCGCAGGGAGTACACGTCGAGGGAGGAGCAGACTTCAGTAATTCATCATTCTACCCCTAACTGCAGTTGGCCTCTGAGAGCTTCCACCCTGCGTCAACATCCCAACTTGACAAAGACTCAGGTCCTCTTCGGGATTCAGCTCGCTCAGCAGACGACCTCTTTCAGCTCGTTCCAAAAGGCTCACAAGCATCCTATGACCAATGAGTCCAGTGCCGTGAGAGCAAACATATTGTAACAAGTTTGCTTTTCTGTCCCTCTTGTGCACGTCAACGTCCATCTGAATAAGACGACGGAACAGTGGCCAAGAGTTATGAGCAATGGTCCATTTGATGACTTTGATATCCATACCACTGCTTTTGTAATACTGTGGTAAGGTAGTGATATCATGAACCATGCTGAATATCTCTTCTGTCGCAAGCACAGCATCGTGGTCAAGTGTAAGCGGAGTAGGCGTCGACACGACATCAAAGAAAGAAAGCACCTCTTTCAGTCCAGATGTCTGTTTGGCCTTCTCATAATCACCTACACACCCAAGATCAATCATGAGCTTAACTAATTCGAAGACTTCGCAGGCCTCGGCCTCTGCCGACTTTGTGAAATGATTCTGCAGTTTTTCGCAGAAGAACTGCCAGACGTGGCTGCTCTTGTCGCTGGGTGAGGCGACCAGCTCTTTCTGGACAAGAAGCGTTATAATTTCTTTGTTGCAGGCGTTCAAGTCGTCTTTGGATAAGTATGATCTCAAGGGTGTTTCATGCTCATCTGAACAAGGGTAGGGGAATATCTCGAGGAGTTGGCGAACCGCTTCTACATTTGCGGAATCTTCGAGATGATTTAGAGGTGAGTCTTTAGCTGAGGTTTGGAATATTTCGGAGTCATGCAACTCTTTAAGCAAAGCGCTATCCTGAATTCCTGCTATCAGTTCGGATATCGATGGCAGGTTGCTCTGCAGGCACGCGTGATCCTTTCCACAGTATTTGACGAGCATAGACGCATTCCGATAACGCTTCTTGACAAGCGCTTTGGCAAGCGGAGTACGACCACTTTTGTTCACCGTTCTTAAGGCATACTCTCGTTCTGTCTTATCGGTGTTCGTAAGTAAGACTCGAAGAACCCTTGATGAGGTAGCCTTAGAAGCTGCGAGATGCCAGATGGTGCTTCCTCTTCCATTGGTCCTCTTAGTCTCGGCGCCGTTCTTCAATAATCGTAAGAGGACATCTTCCTTCTTGTCTTCAACACAATAATGAAGGACAGCCTTGCTTTTCCAATCATGTGGGCTGTTGGGTACGGGGTAATTTTCGAGCAAGTGGTCCAAGCAGCTAACAGCTGAGCACGTAACAGCGAAGTCGAGCACTTTCGTCAAGACGTCACCCTGCAGTAGGTCCTTGGTTCTTATGTTACTTTGAGATTGATCCTTGAGAGTTTCCAAATTGTCTTCGTTGATTGACTTCCACATCTGTTGGACAAGCATGTCATCCGAGATGCCTTCCGAGATGGACAGCGGTATGTCGATATCGGTGGTTTCCGAGACGACCTTCTGAAAAGCTTTTAGATATGCCAACGATTCGCCCTCTTTCTTTGAGACCATTGCATCCAGGATCTTCATGATATCCTGGATTTTGCGCTTAGCCTTTTGGTCTTTGTGCTTAGACCAGTTGCGGCAGATCAACCGGAACACTGCTGTATCATCTTCGTGCACCTGGGTGCCTCCTCTGATGACGGCCGCAAAGACTTGGAAATCATCAGCCCATTCTGAGCTTTTGAGTGCCAAGGCGCCCATGGTACTCCAGGGGTAGGCCTGACTGGGCAAGTCTCGTGTGCAGTCCGCTCCCGCGTTGATCAGCAACTCAATCGTGCTTCTGTGTGGCCTGTCATACAAGGCCAGACTGCCCAGCGGGAATGGCCTCATTGGAGGTTCGTGATGACCGATGAGACGAAAGCCTCCAACAGCACATTGTAAAGGAGTACCTATCTTACTCAGGCGATTGAAATTTTCTCCCAGCTTGATCAACTCCTGACAGACAGCATCAATACTGAGCAGAGCAGCCATGTGCAACGGAGTATAATCGCCCCGCCTGATAACACGTGCAAGACGCCTTGTTTGACCTGCTACCCAAGATCGATTGGTATTCTTCTTTTTTCGCCGAGGGGGGCTCATTCCAGGCGGGAAATCATTTGGAGGAGGGAGCCTTCTTCCACCATTATTATCCCCCGAATCGTTGTTTGACCATGCTGCTGCGGAAGAGTTGACAACTGTGGTTTCCGAGCAGGCAGATTCCGACTTCTTTAGCTGACTGTTCATGTTGTCACCTCGGCCTTTCCACTGGTACCTGTACTGCCAGCAAACTTCGAGGCACCAAGACTTGAAGTTCGTTGTCTGCTTGGGGTCAAATAGCTTCATGGCTTCGGAAAGTAACTTAGGGTCCCGCCAATGTGTAGCAGCAGCTTTGTACCAAGTCAGAGCGGCGAACCTGTAAAAGGGATACCTTTCACTCCTGGTCTGAATGAAATCCGCTTCCGACAGTGATAAGCTAGGAAGTCGCGCAAAATGACTCAGAGTAAGGAAGTTTAGCGCGCAGCCAGTGAGAAGCCGACTTGATCCAGAAGTCGTATTGTGATATGCGGCAAAATCGCTGGATTCGTCAATGCCTCTTAGGAAGTTTCCAATCGAATCGTGTGCAAACACAAATCTCTTGTCATTCTGTGACTTTTTGACCATAGGACTGCATTGTTGGAGGATCTCTGATTCATCTACCTCCGGATACTCCAACATCTCAGGATCTAGCCCGAAAATGCCTGAAGCCGAGAGGGCTTGGCATAGCTCTTGAGCGCTGAGTTCTGGACGCGAACATCCCATGAGACTCAGAGTCCTTTGAACCAGGCTTTGAGATTCTGGTGTTCGCTTCTTGAATTCGCTCAACGTCAAGCGGTAAGTGTCTTGCAGGGAGCATGGTAGCTTCGCGAGATATTCGACCTGCTCAGAGTGGGACTGCAAGGCGCAGAGGTGGTCAAGTTGATAAGTGATCTTCCAGAACCTGCCTCAACTATTAGACTCAATCATGTTATTAGAATCTCGCCGACTTACACGTAATCATCAACAACGCTGAGTTTGCGAATCGCATCATCCTTCATCGCTGGCCTTTCGAGCCGCAGAGCCCCGGTCCTGACTCGTCTTTCTAATTCGGTGGCAGCAAAAGTTTGTAAGCAAGCCACGGTTGGTGTGATCTCGACGTGAGTACTAAGTTCATTCCAAGAATCTCGAACGATCTCGTAATCTTGAGAAACAACTGCTAGGCTGAAATTGGGCGCGAGTTCCTTTGAGTCTTTGATCAACGTCGTAATAATCTGCATGATGCCAAATGCCCTGTGCCTATCGCAGTCGACGATAACCAACACGTGGTCGAATGATTTTGACATCTGCCAAAGCAGCGCTATAAGTTCTTCCCGGCCGACCTTGTCGTGCAGCATCGTTGGTTCGCCACTTTGACGATATTGGCTCAGCAGTTCGAACGCGCTCTGGCTCTGGCGCGCTACCTGAGCAACGATGGTGCCAAGTAGGCTGAGATTCTGGCCATAGCTTTGTAGAATCTCTAAGTAGATTGGCACAACGATTGTGTTTGGACGGCGTCGCTGGAAGGTTTCCCGTACTAGTGCCCCAGTGAATGCCGTTCTCCCACAGCCTGGAGGAGCTGTGAGCCAAAGGTGTGATCCTCCCTTACTTAGCCAAGCTTCGAATTGTTGGTCTTGAAAAAGGTCTGTCTGTATATGGAAGTGCTTGTATCGTTTTTGTATCTTGATGTAGTCTTCTTCACGAACGCGGATGAAGCGGTTGAGAACTTTGTAGATACTACCAGAGTAATGGCCAGTGGATTGGAGAAAGTCGGTAAAAGCTTCTGACACCCAGTCTTCATCACTTATGACCATCGCAGACTTTCCTTTTGATAGTATTTGCAGCAGTTCTTCGACTGAATCTGCATACAACCCTCTCGAAATTGTCTGCTTGTGCTCGCCAAGCTCGTTCAAGAGATCTGCCGTCCAAGCAGTCGTGAATGGCCACTTGAGATCGGTGCGCCCTTTTTGTTCATGTCCGTCGCCGTCCGATTCATGTGTCCGTCTCCTCAGCGATCCCTCTAGTCGTTCCAAAGTGCGGCGGCATGAGATCAGCGGGGTCGGGGTGGTGTTCACGTCCGAAATTTGGTCCTCGTTTTCTCCAAGTCCTGATACCAGTAGCGATAGTCGGTGCAACAAGCCCGCAATGTCTTGTATCTCGTCGGCGACGCTCCGGATCTCCGACTTCAACCTGCTCTCACTTTTGGCGAAGCTGAAGGTCAATCGAAAGGTGGCATCGGCAATGGCCCTCAGCCCATCGAGGCTGACGGCTAATTGCTCCGTCTCCATGTTGGGTCGGGCAGGGGGGGTTGGTCCACCGTATCGAAGCCCTATGGTGACTTGACTCTCAAGACCGGATGTGCTGGATGGAGAGTTTCTTGTAACAACTGTGCTTTCCGACACTTTCAACCTGATTCTGGTGAGTCGAACAGTCTCTCACATAGCTGACTGTCTCGTGACGATGCACGTGTGACGTGGTGCTTCCCCGCTAGTGCCAGGCAGCTTTGCATGCTGACATGCAGATTTACGCACCCGAATAAGCACCCTGCAGATATGGTGAGAATATCTCATGATGTTCCCATAGAAATCAAACGCCACAGCGAATCAACAGTCATTGAGAAACAATTTGTTTCATTGCATCTACTACTAGCTAGGTGGGATGGCCAAGACGACCGGGCTATATTACTGTGAATTCCCTTTCCCTTTTCCTAATCACTCAACTATTTGCTGCAGCTAGACCACAGCGACTACTTACTCGCCGTCGCGAATGCGTCCAATCTAGTCCCATAGCTTCTTAAGTTCTGGCAAGAAGAATGAGAAGAATTAAGCAAACCATGGACATGAACATTGAACCTTCGCTGCCTGGTAAGTTGTCTGGTGGTCCGGTCTTGCCGCAATGCTCGCAGATGCCTCGCTTGAAAGAGGGGCTGCCGCAGCGCGGGCAATCTGTCTTATAGCCAGGCATTCTGGTCAGATTGTTTTCTAGTGGCTCTCTGAGGATTTACGAAGTCTTGGTGTTTTGGATTATGTTGCGTAAGTTCCTGTTTGGTCTGATGGTAGTTGAAATTGCTCTTTGGTATGAATTGAACAGATTCAGAAGCTGTGAACAAGATTGACGGTTCATGTTTAAATGGATGTTTTTATCATTTCACAGAAACTTTCATTTCCACATATACATACAGAGGTATTGGTGAGACTCTGAGTCCTAGACTGAGTTGTGAGCCAGACAAATACTAACTAGGTATGACTGGTTGGTGATCGGATTGCAAACAGCGCTGGAATTTGGAAATCAGACTCAGACACATGAGTGAAGAACAGCGTCGCGACTGTTATGATTGTAGGCAAGTCATAAAAAGCATTGGGTGCATGTAAAATCGGCAAGGTCAGTTTCCACTAAAGTGTGACTCGCTTTTCAAAGTCATTCTGAACCTTTAAGCACGCTGTATGGTTGCCTCTCACTCGCGAGTCTGACTGTACGACTGTGGATGAGGTGCAATGGTCGAAGCCAGAGTCCCACATTTGACAACTTTGAGATACAGAGGCTGCGGCTCTTCTATTGAGCCATTTCCGCAAGATAAGGCCGCAAATCTGATTATTTGACGGATCCGATCGTTCGGCGCCATTCGACATCCGCCGGTGACATTCGGCGCCCTCGGAAACCCCGGCGGACTCGGAGCCCGAGTGGGCCTCCCGTCGGCAGAGTGGCGCCCTTGTTCGAGTTTAGTGAACAATCCCCGGAAAATGACCCCCTTTCACATCTCTCAATTCCGAAAGCCGAAGGCGCGAGACCCCTTGAGAATGAGGTATGAAGTCCCATTTGAACTCGAAGAAAACTGTTCTCCAGAATTATGGCACGGATCGACCCGGAGAAATGGTTCTAGATTTCTACCGCGTACTTGGACCGTAAGAATTGACTTTTATGTCACGATCCCCGTTTTGTAGCACCCTTCCATCCATCTTACTCATCTTGCATGTTTCCCATTGTCCAATCACCTTCGTCCATTTCATTACCTGTTAGATTCACATCGTGATGGCTTCCTTCTTTTCACGGGCCAGGTTAGCGACCTTCTCCAAGTTCGCTGCAGGTACCGCCATCGCAGGCGCCGCTAGCTTTCACCTCTGGACGCGTCAATGCGCGTTTGACGACAACTTCACTCCAGCCAACGATGCTCTCTTCCAACATCCTCTTCTCAAAAAGGTCAATCCGAAAAACAACCCCGACTTTCACGACTGTTGCTTCCACATGGTCTCATTTGACAAGCTGCGGCCGGAACTTGTCGAGGACGCTCTCAGTGGGGGCTCAAAACTTGTAGAGTCGTATTCTGCCGGTGTTTGGGGACGATATGGCGAACATGAGTCTGCTTTGATGGAGGAGAAATGAGAAACTGACTTTAACATTCAAGCCTTCAACATTCAAAGGAAAATCATGGAGATGGCTCGTAAAGATGAGTCCAATGCCGGAGACCTCTGGAAGAATGAGGAGCTGTTGAAAACCACTTACCAGGCCGGTACATCTCACTCCCGAGTTAGGCCATGCCACTCACTCATACTTCAAGGTTACCCTCACTGACTCAATTAGGCACAACCTTTGCTAATGATTTCATCGTCATTGAAAAGTCTCCAAGCAGCATCCTGCTACGGGGCGGACTCTCCCCCAGGGTGGCCCCTGATGGCTCCCGAGAGCTGGACAGCATCATCACGCTTGATGCAGAGCTCGACCACCAGTCCCGAGTTGTCACCTTCAAACTGAAGTCAATACTCGTCAACGGATTGAGCGACGGTAAAGGTGTTTCCCTGGTAGGGCCTGGAATCTTCTTGCATCAGCAGTACGCCAAGTTGTTGGTGACTGCTGGTGTTGACCACTGTGTTGCGTGATACCCACGAAGGCGGTACTGAACCATCTTCCCTCATGATGTATTACATGTGTATTACTACCATAGACTATAGAAGCAACGAGTGCCATCTTTCGAGGGATGCTCGTATGACGACATATTCTCTTTGGTATCATGAAGCAGCAAAAGTCATAAGCCATACCTAGGTCTAGATGACATCGGCAATGAACTTGGGCACGACAAACTCCGCAGGGCCTCCAGTGAAAGCCTCGGTACCGAGCTGATAGACTGTGGATTCCGTTAGCTGAGAGTTCTCGCGGTTAAACATGTTGATTAGGAAGAGGCTTACCGAGCATGTACTGGTTGTGTTGGGGGAACTGGAACTGGTGGCTCAAGAAGTTAAAGAATTGCTTCACATCGGCGTTGAAGTGCTGAATAGGGCCGTTGACGGGCAAGAAGCTGTACACCTTCATCGCGCCGCCATGGTTGTAACCAAAGTGAACCTCCCACTGATGCCCGCAGATCTCAACATGCGCGATGGGCGCCTTTGACTCGCTAATGGGCCACACACCGCCCAGCTTGGCCAGCCTACACGGAATACTTGTAAGCTGGTTGACTAGACTCGTATATCACTCATAAAACTCACCAAATCATGACTTCGAATTCTCCGCTGCTGTTGGCGTGGTCTTTATCCGGGTCCGTAAAGATGTCATACGCCACATTGGCCCTCACATCCCACGTGCTGTAATGCCACTCGGCCTCCGTCGGCAGCGCCCGGATCTCACTCAAAAGCCGGCGCTGGAACTGCCTCGCGCCGTAGACGTACGACTTGACGTTGTGCTCGCCGCCCTGCCACTCCCAGTCCGTCGACCACGAGATGCCCTGGGCACCCGACACGCCGGGCGGGCTGGGTCCGTCGTAGTGCGTGCGCTGCGAGCCCGACGTCGCGCTCTCGAGACCCCAGGTGTTGTTATTTAGTTCATATCCGTCAATGGCGTGGTATCCCCATTTCTTCTCGAGGGTGACGATGTGGTCGCGTGGCGGCGGCATGTTGTTCTGGTTTTGAGGCGGCGGAGCGGGGCGTGCTTGTTGGAGTTCGTGCTGTGACGAGTCGTCGGATGTCGAGCAGCAGGATCCCATGGGAGGCGAGTGAATGGCTTCCTTTGAGATCTCTAGCCTTAGCAATGCCTTGAGAGACCTCGATGACAGTAATTAAGAATCTATCGGCCGACGAGATGGGACGAGATGAGATGGTGTGAGGGGTAGTTGGAGACGGCGCGTCTTTAGCACAACGGACGGGGCGGGAAGCGTTAAAGTTGGAGAATTCAGGGCCCCGGAGTTTGTTGTCAGTTGCTGACAAGACGACGCTCAGGGGTCCATGGTTGCGCCTTGCGGCAGTGCTGGACCGGTCGACTCCACTGTGTGCGTCAGCTCTGGTCCCTACCAAGACTTTACGGCAACTGGGCCGGTTGGCTGACGTCAATGTTTCTCTGGGGCCTGTTCCTCGGCTATGTTGGGGATGAGGAAGAAGGTTGGCCAACGATTTCGGGCATGAAGAAGGAGAAAGGAAGACATTGGCTGAGTCATTTCAAAGGCTGAAGATGAGCAGGGCTTTCGTTGGGAAGTCAACTGAGATAGAGATTTGGTCAACAATGTCCCCAGATGGCCATTCCGAATTGGGAGCACAAAGGCAACTGGAGCCTTGACAATGGCCTTGTTTGTCTCTGGCCAAAGAGCCTGGGAAGTAAGCCGCCTCATGTAAGAGGCCTGAAGCATGTCTTTTAGACTGTTGAACTAAGAGACTTCCAACGGCGGCTGCCGGAAACCCGATTCTAAGTCTGAATAGGCCGGAGATTGAGGACCGGATCCGATGTACAAGCTCGGGGAAAGTGGGTCACCGTCCGGACCTATCCGAGACGGAACCTTGAAGACGGCAAGGACGGTCTGCAACCCGGTGACTAGTGTGATACCCGTGATTCCGTGGCTGGATTTCATGTTGCATTCCGTACTTTCGAGTTCTCTTTGACCAAGAAAATCAAGACAACAGGGGACCTTATCAAGGCCATCAGCTCATGGCTAATCCGGACAAGTCCATGTGCCTAAAGCACAATGAACATGCTGGCTGAAAACAGAAACCACGGCACTACGCCCTAAATCGACGACGCTAGACCCTCTCCGATTTCCCAAGTTGAAGTTCTTTCAAAGAGTGGTGTGACCGTAAGCCGCCGTACATGTCAGCTTCCTGAGACATGCCACAGCTCTGGCCAGAACCTGAGAGCGATCGACGCGTGAAGCAAGTCGCTAGTCGCGACGACGCGGCCATGGTCATCGACTCCAAGCCACATCACCCCTCAATGGCAGTGATAATACTCCAAGCCGCATCTCAACCCGACAAAAACAACCAGATTCTTGGTGGGTTGAATCTACGAACAATCCGTTGGACTCTTGTATCCTGCTTGGCTGGTGGGTTTTGTTTACTAAGTCGGAGCTTCAGCCCTATGGGACCCTATGGGACCGTATCGTTTATCACAATGCACTCACTACGCATTTTGCCGTGGTGTCTCCTCCTTCTTTCCGGAGTCGTGACTGCCCAGACGCCGTCGATCGATTACCTTCCAACATGTGCTGTATGCCGGACCATCTGACCTCGAAGTCCCTTCCCCTTTGGACTAACAGGATACTCAACGACAGCAACCATGCCTCGTTGAAGGCTTGAGCAGATCATCCTGTCGCACGGGGAATCACACATGTCTATGTCATGACACGAACTACACGAGCTTCATGAGTGACTGTGTTGCCGGTAATTGCTTACCAATCGATGCCTTGGGTAAGTGTAAAAGACTCCATGTCCTCTGCAGTAGTGGGAGCTAGAAGTTAACCTGGTCTCAATAGCTACCCAGAACTACACTTGGACAGTTTGCGGGTTTCCAGCAGTCAATGATTATGTCTCAACACAAGTCCCTATATTGGCAGGGCTCTTCGTGTTGGCTTCTCTGTCGATCTTCATGAGGATGGCAGTCAAGATTGCAGGCGTCTCTGCGTGGGGAGCTGACGATTGGATGATCCTCGTAGCATACGTGAGTATGCACTTGATCTCGCCATTTTAACCCCATGTAACTTACCGAGGATAGGGGTTTTTCATAGCTTTTGTACCGATTAACGTGTATGGTAAGTACATGTATACCCGCATGATAGGAGTAATCTTCTCAAAAGAATTATCAGCATTGCTAATGGCTGATATTCGTCTCAGAGGGCAGGAACGGCGCCGGTCAAAACATGTGGACTTTGAGTGCTGATCAAATCACAAATTGCTTCAAAGTAAGCGACCTGATGTTTAGTTCTGTCATCTATAGTGGTGTCTGACAAGTCTATCCCCAGGGTTACTACGTTATGCAAGCTCTTTACCACTGCACGATCACTCTGATAAAGGCATCTATCCTCTTCCTGTGTTTGCGACTCTTCCCTTTCGAACGGTTTAGAATCGCACTATGGGGAACGCAAGTCTTCAACCTGGTAATCGGTGTGATGTGTCTACTCCTTGGCATCTTCCAGTGTAATCCTGTCCACCTTGCTTGGACAGCATGGAGACAAGACTCCGAAAGCCAGGGAACGTGCATGAGTATCGTCAACATCGGGATAGCCCATGGGGCCATCCAAGTTGGACTGGATATCTGGATGCTGGCCCTACCTCTGCTGCAGATTCAAGGCCTGAATCTGAAGTGGGAGAAAAAGTCTAGCCTGGTGGTCATGTTCAGCCTGGGTCTCTTGTGAGTTCTCTATGATTGGAACGCTAACAATTCTTATGGAATCATCTAACGATTGTTTCCCTCATCGTAGTCTTACAGCTGCCAGCTCAGTCCGACTGAAACTCCTCACCGACTACCATCAAGGAACCGACAACTTTATAGGTAGGCCCCCTATCAAGTCTATCATCTGGCTTCTAGGTCCTTGCTTACGCGGCCGACTGCTAGTGAACTCGCTACCAATCGCTACATGGTCGATAATCGAGATAGGCATGGGCATTTTTACGGCCTGCACGCCTAGCATTCGACAATTCTTCCGAGTCTTCATTTTAAGACGACGTGATAGAAGAGCCAACTTGCACTCGGATTCCAGCCCTGGCAGGATTTCTAGAGGCACCGTTGAGGAGGTTCCCTAGGCAACATTGCAGATGCAGGTGGACAACAGCGTCTAGACGATGGCTTAAGACAAGATTTTTGCGTGTTATTTATTTATCATCGAAAACCCCGTGAAATTATCAATCGAAGGTTTCTTGTTTATCTTCTCAGAAGGTTCTTTCCAAAATATACATGCAGGCCTGAGAATATTGTTTTGGTTCTGAAATTCTCGAGAAAGCGTCACCATCCGTGTTGTATCATGGTTCACTTTTTATTGCCTGTCAACTCATTTGTTGAAGGAGTAAGAAGTCAGAGAGCACATAGTCTGCTGCCAATGCCGTAGTTAACCTCGCGACCAACGAACCACCAAAGATTGTGGAACATACAGATTCTGGGGGAATTGTTGTCATGATGAAAAATTCCACTCATACCCCGTGCCGATGAGCACACCAGAAGTAAGTTTGCAAACCGGATCCTCATGCCGTTTCCAAGCCTCATACCATCGGCAATTGAGCCGCAGTACAACTTCAGAAGAAAAACGCTGAATGATAATGATATTTGACCTGGGGAAGTACCGGCAATGAGGTACGGAAATCTCCGACTCGGCAGGCTCACTCGATGCCAAGAAATCAGCACCGCCAAGAGAACAAATAAAATCGAAAAAGTGAAAAGTGAAAAAAAGGGCTGCCCCAGGCCCCTCCACAAGATGCCAAGCCGCCAATGTGGCCGACTCGGCCGCGACGATTACTGCGCGTGAGCGCGTGCGTCTGCGCCCAGCATTGGTAGGTATTTCCAGTTGTTCCATTGCCCTTTTTTTTTCCTCCCCTTGCGTGGGACGAGCAGCCTTGGCCGAAGCACCGCCAATGCTCTGGGCAAGGCAAACGACGTAGCGCTGCGAAAACCGGTACCATGCGATCCCGAGGCGGGTTTGCTCCAAGAAAACACCAAGGCAGTCCGCCTGCGCCATTGATGAGAGCGTCAAGAACTTTGCATGACTGATTGTGGTCCGGTCAAGAAGAAGCCCAGCCGTGGCATTGAATAGGCATACCCGTACTCACGCCTTGAAGGTTGTCTGAGCTACTGGGCACCGTTGTACGGGCCTAGCCGCTGATCGCTCTCAGTATTGGTCCTTAGGACGACCGACGACGATCCCCCGGAGCACCTAGAGAGAAAGCTGACTCACTGTGTCTTACTCTTGAGGCATCGCAGACTATGAAAATGATCAGGTGAGCGCGCACGCGGCATGGCGGTCGAAGTCTATCGAGATGATCCCCAATCTCATACCACCTTCTGGGGGATGGCTTCAAGCTCGTCATTTTCTGGCATGGCCTGCTTGCCGTGCCGTGCCAAGCGGTCAAGAAGATCAGCGCTGGCACGGGCAAAAGAGACCTGGACTTTTTGAATGAGGCGAACAGATCTGAGTGAGTGAATGAGGACTCAGACGGTCAGACTCACTGAGCGACTGAGTTGACCTGAGTCGCGCGCTGCCGTGATGTCTTGGCACGCTAAGAATGCCATACCTCATGTTTCCTTGGTGTTTCCTTGGTGTCTGGGCGTGCACAGTCACTGTTGGCTGGCGTGATAGAGCAACCTTTTGAGCAGCAATTCGGGGCAACTTTGCAAGGCTTGGGGAAAGGAAATGAGGGATTGCGCGGATGCCTAGTGCCAATCACCCTCCAAGACCCCCTGAATGGACCCTGGAAATCTAGACGAGAGTTTCTAGGGAACCTTTGCTCATTGCTTTTTGTTGATTTCGTCTTTTTACTTTTCCCACTCGGCGACGACTTGGTATCAATGGTTGCAAACTCACCTGCGTGATGGTTTCTTTTCCCTCTTCACCGTGACAGTTTGAGTAATGCCGGCTCTCCTGCCATTCCAGCAAGAAAGATGAGAAGCAGGAGAGACACGGCGACGAACCTTCGGTCTCGGTCTCACTCTGACAGCTCAGTCTCGAACGCCCGCCGCGTCGTTGAGTGAACCGTTACTGCAAACAGGCGAAAAAGCAAATGTCTCGGTACTCGTACGCGCTGAGATGGAGCAAGCTGCACGACGGTTGCAGGGCGCATTGTCCATCGATGACGGCCAACAGGATGAGAGAGAGAAAGAAACGAACACCCATGGGGATGAGATGGATGGGTGTCTTCCCCCAGGTCCCAGCCGTTTGCGCCGCCAAAAGTGCCCGCCCAGAACTTTGATGATCCTTTCTGTACCACCAACCCTTGCGATCCATGACTAAACGCCAATCTCCCACATCACGGAGTGACGAGTTTATGTTCTTGAAGCTTTCCGCGCTGCCCAGAAGCTTAGAGGAGGACAGGAGACATATGGCAATTGGCACGGCGGGATGGGAAATTGGACCGGTCACGGCACTGCTGAGGTATGCCGAGTCGGACAGGCGCGCCAAAAGGCATGGCGAATCTCACCAGTCGACTGCCACCTTATCACTGTACGACAAGTCAGACTATCGCGTCCGAGACAAGAATTCCCAAGGCTCTTGGCAGCGAGCGTTCTCTCTCTGCCTGCGGCCCTGCAGTGCTCAGCAGCACCAGGCACTAGGTATTATGAAGCTCGTGCTGTGGTGCTAGGTACTGTGCTGCCGTGCTACCTACCTCTTACTGATAACCTCAACTCCCAAGACATCACAAGGCCAATAGCGCCGGCTCAGCGAGCTGCCCAGGAGGCTAGATGGCTAGGCCAGCGCATGCCACTCCTTCACCGTTCCCTCTCGGCGCCTGCGGACCTGGAGTCTGAGAGTTCTGCTTGGTGGGAGGGCGGCAGGCCGCAGCCTTCTTGGCGGGTTTGGCTGTAACTGTTCCAAGCGTCACAACAGCCCCCTTATCCCGACAATTATAACCGAACAAACAGCGTCTGGCAGAACTAACAGGCGTTGCTGCTTTCCCCCCGTGCCCCCCCCCCAAGTTGCCCCAACATGTGGCTCGCCGCGCTCTGTTCTGCTGGCGGTTTCTTGGCAAAACCCTTTTGCTGCCGCGGGTGTGCCAAGGGATGAACTGGACGAAGTCACGAAAGTGATCCCCAAGCTGGACAGGACACGCCCCCCCAAGGCCCCCAAGGAACAGTGTTGCCTAGGGCCAAGCCTGCCAAGACAACATCATCGTGAAATGTGAATGGGCATCACCCCCCTACGAGCCTAGGCGGGCCAAGACGGCCTCTGTGGCCAGTTCTGGAGTCAGTGAGCTGATAGCGCGACTTGGCGGGCAGCACATTTGAGACCTCTCCAGTCTCTCACAGAGTGCAATGCCAAGATCTCATGTGTGCTTGGTGTATTTTTTTCCTCTCGTACAGAAGTGAATTCTATTTCTCCTTGTTCCTCTCTGCCCAGGCCGAATGCCCAGACTTTGCCAGGCCACAGGCACCTTTTTCTTTTCTGCTGCCCCCCCCCGCATTTCCCTCTTTGAAGTCTTGACTCTGTCTTTTTTCGCCCTTCCGTTTTGAGTTTTTCTCGGTCTTTTCTTGGGAGAGGGTCAGGCGCAATTAGAGCATCTCGGCGGTCTCTGGGCTTTTTCATCACTTCATTACCTTCTCACACCCCGCGCCCCTGGAAGACTAAAATGGTCGCTGAAGCCCGCCGTACATATTCCCGTCTTATGAGCTTTTTTCGGTATCCGGTTCTTCAGCCTCTTCGCCTCTCTTCCGTGCCCACTCGGAGCCTTTTCAGAAGTCCACTCACTCGCTCACTCAAGCACCACTCACTCACGTCCCCATATCAAAGTTCCCTCATGCCTGCAACCTATTGCATGTGGTGTTGACTTGGAGGTTCACACTGAAGAAAGATATCAAAGGACGACTTGCACGACTGAAGGAATTCGAGACGGAGTAAAATAAAGGATTATAGGAAAAGGGGAAGAAGCTACAGAGCCATACAACCGCCACACTGTCGCCCGCCATGTCCCTCCAAAACGGCGCCTACACCCACCAAGGTTACTCCGCGCCGCCCTACAGCCAGGGATACAACCAACCACCAGGAGGTCAAATGTACGCCAACGACGAGCAGGTCACGCAAGTATACTACTACAACAACGACGACGCCGCATCAATATCATCGCGAAGCATCTCGCGTCAGCAGTACTGGTACGGTCAACAACCCGGCGGCGGCCGAAGCTGTCGATCCAGCGGCAGCGCAAAATCACCCGAGAATGAGCGCTTCAACCGCAAGAGGAGGCGGTGCACGTACATGTACTACGTCCTGCGCCAGCTCGCCATCATCGTGCCTTTGGTCGTTATCTTTCTGAATATCAACATCTACTGCTCGCGGAGGGGCAAGTACCTCAACGACTCGACGAGCCCTGCGGATCCTATTTTTTACAGCTTGTGGTTGTCTGTACCGATTGTAAGTTTTTGCCTTCCAGCATGTCTTGAGGGATACCGACATATAGATGCCGGTTTTCTGAGATGAGTTTCGGAGGCGGTTGGCTGACCATTTTACAGTCGTGTATTCTTCTCATCTGGTCACTCGTCACCGTCATCTGGCGCAAAAGAGATGCCTACCGGGGCGGTATCCCGAAGCATTTCCATTTCGGCATGGAGTTGTGTTTCACGCTCGGCACCACCATCTGCTGGATCCTGCTTGTCATTCAGATTGAGTCGAAGAAGTCCAACGGGTATTACGCGTATCCGTACATCCAGTACGAGGCCGCTCTGGCGTTCCTAATGGGACTTATCATGTAAGTCGAGCTACCTTGTTTGATGCCATACCTTCGCTCTCACCCTCACTCCCAATCTCACTCCAACTCATATCCTCACTCTCACTCTCACTTCATCTCTCACCCCACCCATCATCTCACTCCTTCTCATCTTATCGCTCATCGATACTAACATTTCCCCCGCCAGGATGTCTGAGTTTGGTCTGCTTTCGCGAGCCTGGTTCGAGTTCACCAACGACAGGACACGGCATGAAAGTGAGATGATGCAGGTGTAGTGCATCAAAGCATTGTTCGGCGATTTTTTGTACGCTTTTGGGCAGTCTATTTGGCGAGGCGTTAAGAGCACAGGGACTGGATTACTGGATTGCATTTCAGGGACAGGGTAGAGAGGTACTGACTTCTGGCGCCCATTGCATTTTGCTTGAGAAAAACACCATGAAGAGATACCCACCAGCGGAAAAAAGAAGATACCATTAATCAAGAATTTCACAACCACTTTCCACAAACCACAAAACGCCCCGCTTTCATCTTGTTCATCCAGCGCCTTCAAAGCAAAATCGCGCGCTCACCGAGTATTGACTGCCCCCGATGGACTCTGCCGCTTCTTGCGCCGTTGATACTCGCCCACGAAAGGAGACAGAAGTGCGAGCGATAGTAGTAAGGCCCCCGCCAACCCCGTAATCGCAACGATGGCCAGCGGGCTGAGCTGTCCCATCTTCTCCGGCGGCTGCGGGACGGACGGCCCCGCTGATGTGGCCGTGTCTCCGCTCGTAGCTGTTGCGTATGGGTAGGAATAGATGGACGTCATCGGCGTATCGAACGCGCCCATGCAGTACTCATTATCGCACCACACGGTAGTAGGCTTTCCCTCTCCAACGTAGGTTGTCTCGTAATTAGGTGATATACTGGTGTATGCTACGGCGTCGCGTACAGCTAGGGAGACGGTTACGCCGTAGGCGTAGATTGGCGAGAGCGACGTCTCGGCCTTGTTGAAGGCGAGGTAGCCGGCGGTCGTGGTCAGGATGCAATCGGTTTCGGCCGGCCTGAAACTGGCTGTTGCGCATGACCAGGGCAACGCGCTATGCAGGAATTTCGCGTTAAAGTGAGAACTTGGATGAGACGCGGTGGACAAATTCAATTTTTTTTTTCTTTCTTTTTTTGTGGCAACGGGTTGGTCTCTCGCCCTGGACAGCATATTACTACGGAGTGGCTCTCCATAGATCTCACAGACTTCAAGGATGTCTTCTTTCCGTTGGTGGTCGTGAGCGTCGAGAAGACCGGACTGGCGGTACCCCCCCCCTCGGAGCCGCAGTATGACCAGTAGCCGGCAGGGCATCCGCCCTGGGAGACCGCATAGTGCCCGCCGCAGTAGAGATCCATGGTGAGTGTATCTTTGGGGGTGCGACATTCGGCGGGCGGAGTGGCTGACCATGATGTGTAGCTCGTGCGCGTGGGAGACGAGGTTATCGTAGCGGATGATGACATTGTAAGAGTGGAGGCGCGTGCGATTGAAGCTGAAGGCGCAAGATTTGGCGTCGGCGCGATCTCTACTGGCTTGATCCAGCGGCTGGAACCTTTTCCCTAGGAACACGGAAATTCAATCCAGCTCATCTTAATTGTGGGCTGTGAGGTTTGTATATAAGGCACTCGGTTTTCAGTCGAGTCTCGATCAAGAAGGAGAGAGGTCCGTAGACCAGTCAGTCAGTCCCCTTTGAGGTCTCTACTGCAATCGTACGGCGTAGCAAAGGCTTGGCGTACCCGGCTGTCTGGCCCTGGCCTTCGCCATGCCTGGGAAAGTGAAAGGCCTCGCTTGTAGTCCACGCGCATCTCACAAGGCTTAGAAAGTGAAGGGGGAAACGTATCTAGAGGCTGGGAAGGCAAGTAATACCGTGGGGTGTGTTTGAGGTTTTTATGGTCATCTCGGTGTCTCGGTGAGTGACAGCTACACCTTCATCGGTGGGGAACGGAAGGCCGTTTCTCGGTGAAGGGGGTCCACTCACCTCAGCGGGGCGATTATCGGAGAGACGTATCGGGGAAAGCCGCTGACCAGGAAAAAGTAGTGGGTCTAGAACCAAGGCCGAGCTCGATGATTGGTTAGAAGACCTACAAAGTGGATCCTGATTCGCTCATGGGACGTCTCAGGCGCGTCACAGTTGGCCTTAGGGCGGAAAATTAGCAGAGAAGGTGCTGAAGAGTGGAGTGGGGTCCGGTCCCGCGATTCCCGACTTTCCCGACCCGGCCGAAGCCGTTCCAGGCGCAGCGCCTGCGCAGCCCAAGTCACCTCACCATTGGAATGGTCAATTGCAAGCGCCGCATCCCAGCATAGGACCTCAACAGGGCTCAAGCAGACCACCTCACGGACAGATAGAGAAGAGGCCCAGCCCGATCTCGCTATTCTCCTTCTCCACCAGCGCCCAGCGCCCAGGGCGCGCAAGTTCAACTTTCTTCCGTCCCGCATCAACTTCGGGGACCCAGACCAGGCGCAAGCAGAGGGCAAGGCAGAAAATTAGCCCATGGAACATCACCATGTCCTCCACGAGGGCCATCAAGAAGAGCGCCTTTTCGTGCGAACCATGTCGTCGTCGCAAGGTACGTTTGTTCTGTTTCTTTCTCTAACTGTCTCTGTATCTTTCTCGCGCGCGTTTTGAGTCCTTTCCGTCCCCCACCTTGTCTCTCTTCGGCACCACCCCTCCGCCGTGGTGCGCCTCATTTCCCGCATTCCGCGCCACAACCCGCACCCCTGCCACCACCCGGGTCCGTGGAGGACAGCGGAGGCTCGGTCAATGTTTGATGATCCTGCCTGAGGTAACCAGGCTTGGGATACACTACATGGCGGGGGATCGACTCCCAGGAGAACGGCGGGGGGGCTGGGGGAGGGATGGGGGAACGGCATCACGGAACGGAAGAGCGTGGGAGCGAATCGGGGTGACGGACATCATGCACAACTTCCGGCACGGCGGCGTCGCGAACGGATCGGAGTACGACGGTGTGAGCTGATACTGACCCGGACCTTGACGACAGGTGAAATGTGGCGGAGAGCAGCCGACATGTAATCGCTGTGCTGCCCGCGCGGATGAGTGCGTCTATAAACTGTGAGTTATCCCCGATCTCATGCGCCCCTCCCCTTACCTTCTATGCCCACTTCTGTGTAACATGAGAGGCGTGCTGACCATGTCGGACAAAAAGTAACCCGACGTTGTCATACACGTCACGGCTGGAGCATCGTATAAAGGAACTAGAGGCACAGCTCGCCGCAGCGAGGGCTCACGCGCCATCCGGGACGGGAGCCGGAGCCGGTCCATCAGATCCCTCCCGGACATCATCGCCCAGCATCGGGCCTTCAGCGGGCCAGTCGCCCATGACGGACCCTCACCACTTTGAGTCGCAAGATGAAGAGTCTGTGAGCGAGAGCTTCAAGGGCCTCAAGGTCGACGACAAAGGCGCCATTACCTATCATGGCTCGACGAGCTTCTTCCAGCTGCCGAATGATAGGCCGTCTGGCTCGAGGGACCAGCAGTCGACGTCTGATCAGGCTATGCAGAGGCGTGAGAGGCTTGTGGCCAATGCCTGGCAGCAAAGAGCACTTGAGAACATGTCCGACATACCGGTATGGTTCTTCCCTCTAAACCCCGGTCAACTGGCCGCGCAAAGGTGATATGTGAGCCGGGCTGATACTCGTCTAGGAACCGTTCCAATATCTGCTGAACGTCCACTGGTGCTGGATCCAACCTCTCTTCAACTTCATCTACAGACCTGCCTTTACACGTGAGGACGCCCCCATTCCTCCTCCCTGCACCCCCAAACTGACCACCTCTTCCAGGTGACATGCAGACATTAGGACCATACTACTCCCACACCCTCATGAACGCAGTCCTCTCCCACTCCATCCGCTGGGGCCGAAGCGACCCAGCGACAAAAGAAAAACTCGACGAATTCTACGACGGCGGCGCCCTCTTCGGCAAGCACGCGCGCAGCATGGTCTTTGAGGAGCTCAGCCAGGGCGTCTGCTCCATTCCCACCGTACAGACCCTCCTGCTCCTCAGCGCGCAGGAGTGCAGCGTCGGCAACAGCGCCCAGGCGTGGACGTACAGCGGCCTCGCGTTCCGCATCATCGACCACCTCGGCATCTGCGTCGATGGGCAGCGGTACCCCGGTTCCGTGCAGCTCGCTGATGAGGATGTCGAGATTCGTCACCGGCTGTTTTGGAGTTGTTATTTCTGGGACAAGATGATTAGTCTGTACCTCGGGCGTTCGCCTTCGTTGCAGCAGACCTCGGTTTCGCCACCGCAGATCATGTGTATGTTGTGTTTTTCTCTGGAGGTCCAAAGGTTGGGTTTCCCAATAGGGTGTATGTATGCTGACCAGCGAGATGATAGTTGACGACTCGGCCGAGAATGAGTCGTGGACGCCGTTTGGCGTCGTACCGGAAGGCGGCTGGAAGTATCCCCCCGCGGCGGCGCACTCCACCTCGTGCTTCATGCAAATGTGCCGACTCTCGATAACATTCAACGAGATTCTTGTCCACATGTACGACCCCGTGAGGCCCAACAGCCAGGCCGAGATGCAGGACTGTCTCGCCAAGCAAGAAGTCGCCCTGCGGCAGTGGTGGGACGAGCTTCCTCCACACCTAAAGATTGAGCCCACGGCCCTCCCGGCCCTGGCGCCGCCATCGCACATCATCACGTTGAAGTAAGTCCGGTTCAACACTGCCGTTCACCCCAGTCTGAAGTTGAAATGCTGACAACGGGACCCCAGCGTGCTTTACCGCACCTTCAAGATCCTCCTCTACCGCCCCATGCTGTCCCAGCGAGGAAGGGTAGGCGATAACTTGCAGCCGGTGCAGCGGTACCTCGGCGAATGCGTGACTTCGGCGACGGGCATCATCGCCATTTTCGACCTCTTCTGCCGCTCCTTCGGCATCAGCCACTGCGTGCTCTCCCTTTCGTATAGCGTGTACATTGCGGCGTCCATCTTCCTGCTCCAGGTGCAGTCCAGCGTCGAGGACACGCAAGCCCTGCGCCGGCTAGAGTACTGTGTCCGTATCCTGGCATCCGTGAAGCGTATCAACCCAGGTGAGTAATGACGTTGAAGCATTCCTCCTTCCCTCCGACATATTCCAGACGGAAGGGGGGAGCCAGATCCAACTCGTAACTCTGACTGACCTCACCCCGCCCCTAGTCATCAGCAGCGCCCTCAACCTCATCACCCGCGAGCTCGTCGGCCTAGGCATCGATATTGGCACCCTCGGCCTCCCCAAGACGGCCGCGACGCCGCCAATGGCAACCTACGGCATCCCGCAGCAGAGCCGACACGGCGCCGGCGCCGAGAACAACATGCCCCCCACGTCCGTGCCGCCCGGCCCCGAGGCCACCAGCTCCCCCGAGCAGATTTACAACTTCCCCTTTGTCGACACCCTCGGCCCCGAGGCCTTTGCCATTGATCCGCAGGTCTTCCAGACCATGTCTTCTATAGAACCGTTGAGCGTCAGAGTTGGCGCGATAGATGAATAGCAAAGCAAGCAAAAACGCATTCAATTATGCATCAAAGTGTCACTTACCAAAATTACCGAAAAAAGAAAAGAAAGAAAGAAAGAGAGATTCCGTCACCCCGGTTCCGCGACGTTTTGGCTTTCCTTATAGGCGTTGCAAGCCGTTTGCTTTCTGACTTGTCTGCGACGACTTCATCAGACGCACAACTTGATCATACACCGTGAACGTGATGCCGCTCGAGAGCTATACACATCCATATTAGCCAAAAGCTCCAGTCCCATCATCATCCCCTTTTCCGCACAGCAATAGCAACTCACAGTCAATCTCACCAACCTCGGCGACGTGCCCCTCCAAAAAGCAGTCACCCCATCACTCCTCCAAATCCGCGCAGCGCAGTCCATCATACCAGTATACCGCGCATCAACACTCTGCACGCTCTGCATCCTCGTCTTGATATTATCAAACGGCATCGACGCGTACACCGTAAAGACACCACTAATCCCGCCCAGGACAAGCGTACTCCCGACGCCGCCTTCCAGTTGAGGCCACCGCGCCGCCACGCGCTCCTGGAGCATCGCAAACGTCGTGAAGCGCACTGCGCTGTTGGTACCCTGTTTGCACAGCACCGGCGTCAACCCGCTCCACAGGCCTCGGATGCCTTCTTCTCGGACGAGGACCCTGACGGCGCTGATGAGGCCGCGGTTCGCGAGTCGGCTGCCTGCGGCTTCAGTGGAGGAAGAGGTGGCGGCGGCGTGGATCATCTTGGTCTTTATGGCTTCGCCTGGCGTCACGACGGCGATGGACTCTGCTACGCCGGCGCTGAGACCGCTTACGATATTGATCCACGCCGCGCGGGGCTTTCTGCCCGATCCCGGGGCAGTTGCTGTCGACGCCCCGGCCAACGCATCGAGCTTCGAGCGCGTCGTTTCAAAGGCGAGGAATCGGATGCCTGATTTTGCGGCGTTGGAGGCTGCGAGGGCCTGGACGCCGGAGTAGATTCCCTTCATGCCTGAGGTGCGGACCGTGTCGCGGATGATGGCGAGGGAGCTGGGCGGTGGGTTGGCTGTTGTTGTGGCGGATGCTGCATTGCTGGCGGTTGCTTTGAAGTGTAGTTGGCGGCGTGTCTTTACGTATTCTGCTGGGTACTACATTGTGTCAGGAGACTTGGTGTTAAGAGACTTTTCTGCTGGTCTGTTCATCTCATGTTCGTATCATCTACGCATGACCGGTTCCTTGGTACATTGAGTGGGAAGGTGAAAAGTGAGTGAGTGTAAGTGAGAGTGAGTGAGTGAGTGAGTGAGTGCGTAGATGCAATACACGTGTTCTAAGTTTAGTCCCCGGGGAACATGGATGATGAGACCTTCGACTCACAGTGACAAGCGTTTCTGAAACCCCCGCAACACCACCCGCCACGATCTTAGTCAAGACGCCAGACTGCTCCATGTTGTGGGCAATGATCTGATCAGGTCTGATCTAGTCTGGTCGGAGCTGAGTCTTCCCTCAATACCGAACGAAAAGCCTCGGTGAATGTCGGCAATTTCATTCGCGTCGGCGTGCCGTGTCGTCACTCCATTTTCCTTCCTTAGCCCGGAATACCGTCATGATATAACGTTGCTAGCAGCAATGGACCCTCCCCATGGTTTATCGTTCGCAGCCAAAATCAAGCCCCGAATTTTGGCGTACCGGTCCTCATCGGCCCATTTCCTGCGCGCAGTCCCCCATTCTTTCCACCGAAGGCCCGGAGAGTGACCGTTGGAAAAAGTGGTTGAGAGAGCCTGCACGGTCACCGGGCCCTGGGCCTGGGGGATGGCGTTGAGGGGGCTCCACTCGGGCATGTTCCGAGCTGTGCAGTTTTTTGGGCAGCCGGAGGGAGGGAGAAAGCGATTGCCGGTGTAGGTACATGGGGGTTTATCGTCTGGTTGCAACGACGATGCTTTTTCGGCTTCAGTGTCTGAGGATCTCGGGCATCGTCCGTCTCGAGCCAAGGTAGAGAGTGCCAGTGTTTTGACATCTTGGAAATCTTGTTTTCTTGGTTGGTCTTATCGAGGGTTCAGTGGATAAGCAAAGAGACTAAGAGACCATATCCGTGGAGATGGGTTCACTTTTCCGTGAGCACGACTTGCGTGGTTTTCGTCTTGAAGCACTGGTGACTGCACGGCGACTGGGGTGAGGAACTAGAGTCGGGAGGGCTGTGTAAGCTGGGCCCGGCTTGGCGCGTCCTCCGCCACGTCGACGATGATCACCGGCGTTTGATCATCGGTGAGGTTAGGCTCGGCGGGTTAGACGGGGGGGCGTCGAGGGCGGTGATCTAATGATATGCATACGGAGTACAGATCTTCCCCCATGATGGTTCTTAAGGTTCGCAATCGCAAATGCTCTCGGTCAACTTCCGAGCTGTGTAACCCACGGAGGATCGTGTACGGAGGTTCTTATGATGACGGACTGCAGTTCAGAGCTTCTCGAGGGGGTGTGGGAGTACAGAGGAGTGAACGAGCGGAGGAAGTGGGATGGGGGAGGAAGGGAAAGGATTATGGATTGGGTTCTGGATTTCCGTTCATGGGAAAATCTGGGGGGACTAGCGTGTATATGCAAGATGCGTCCGGAGGTTACATGGGGAGGCCAGCCCAGCCTGTGAACCGAGCAGCCTAGGGACCAAGGGAAGAGTGAGAGATTTGGCATGTGGCATTTGCGGCATAGCGGTATGGGATATTGGGATATTGGGATATTGGGATTCATTGGGCGAGCGGATGTCGTTCGGGGTATCATCAGAGCCGGAGGGCCGAAGTGCCGGGGCCCTAGACTTGGAGACGGGTGTGATGCTGTGCGCATGTGCTGTTTCTTGCGCCGCTGTATTTCACTCTTGTTCTCACTCACTCGCTCCTGGCATTGAGTCGGTTTTCATTTTTAGGATATAGCCTGACGTGTTTGGATCTGGGTAGGGAGGTTGAGAAGAGAACCAGCGGTACCGAAACTGTGGTGCGGTGTCCTCTGGGTGAATGGATCAGATGGTTCCCCCGAGCCGTACGACACACGGCCAGGGTCCGAGGTTGAATAAGTCGGAAGGACGTTCCGACGTTATGGGAGTTTGATACTCCATGGAGGGGGAGAGGGGGCTTTACGGGACGTTTACCGAGGGCGGTGTTTCGGGTCCCGGCCGGTTTGAACATTTGGAAGTATGAGTGAGTTTGCCAAGTTTCGTGGGTTGCGATGACAGGATAAAAATGGAAATGATTTTTTTTTTTTGTTCCGCTTCCTAGTTTGGCCAAGATTCGTCAAGGGTAGGAAACAAGATTTTGCGCACGGGACTACGGCGCCGTTTACGGATAAGTTCCCTGGAATAAAGAGAAAAGGGCCCAAAGAGTAGCAGATTTCCAGGAAATGCTCGCTGTTAGTCTCGCTGTAAAGTCTCAAGACCGAGTCTATCGTAACTTTGCACGAGGTTGGACGGTGAGTAACATTTCCAGAAAGGAGACCGCAAAGTGGACACTCTCTGCGCAACTTCTTTTCTTTCTGGCCGAGACGCCCGTGGGCGGATGGACATTATGGATATCTGATTTGCGCGCCATGTGTTCGATGGTACTGGGGATCTGTGGTGGAGACCCTCCGGTTTACCGGCAACGCCAACGGGGGATGGCCGAGGTTGTTATCGCGGACATGGACCGAGGGATTGAGGGTATTCGTGCGCATTGTAGCTGTTGAAAGAACAAAAGCTTGTTCTTCCTGTGAAACTCTCGGGGGATTTAATGTCGGTGATGGTCCGGGGCCGGGAGGGATGGAAGTTCACCGAGGAGACGGTGAGGCCGGTTGCTTGCTTTGGTGGTCGTGTCTTTTCGTTGCAAACGCGACGTTGAATGACTCTTGAAACTGCTTGCACTAGACTCGACTGTGAGGATAGCTGGCCGGCTGGGACTGCTATCATTATAATTGCAACTCAAGCTCAATTATGTCAGCTTGAAAAAGCCCCTTTGGCTCAGTGGTAGAGCGTCGCACTCGTACTTTGGCACTCCATGCGAAGGTCCACGGTTCAATCCCGTGAGGGGGCATTCACTTTTGCCAGTTGGTCATAAGACAGATAGATCAATAGGTAAGCGATTTGCATCTTCAATTTTTGAGTTTTCAGCATGTTGGAACTATTCTGCGCGGGTTTGGTTCCCTGCAGTAGGTACCCTATACGTCCGTGGGTGGAACTTTATGTGAGAGCTGCCAATCAAACTATCTAGAGGCACAGACCAAGCATACAGGCAGGCATGCTGCTGCCAGTCTCTTTAGTCCCTTTGCAAAACTCTCTGTTGGTGTTGTTGTTGTTAAGATGACAACAAAGTTCCTACAGCAGGCTGTAAGCATAGATTGCTAAAAGTCTCGCTGATGCCACGGACCGGGAGGCCATCGGCAACCACGACCTTGAGACAACGCTGATCAATGTTCCTCTACTACGAACGGCCCTGTCTGATGCTTTGATCAACAGGAAAACCGATGCTTTGAGCCTGTGCCCACGTGCAGTCCCAGCCCGCACTTGCAGATGACCTCTCGGCGAGGGGCAGCTGCAAGGCCTGGGGTATGATGTATCGGCGATTCGTTTGTGCCTCGGATGGAGGGGATCTGCAAAAAGGGTTGTAACTTGTGGGGAGGAGGGGAAACGTCTTATGGGACCCCTTGTCAAGTTGTTGTGGGATCCGGAGGAGGAGGGGTATCTCTTAATGTTCAGAGGATACTTCAATAAGTAGAGGGTGAAAGTTCAACCGCGGTGTTTTGATACTTGTCATCGGACATTGAATCAAGGAAAAACATTTCCCTTGTATCATTATTGCGGGTTCCCAGTGAGCACGATGACTATGAAGTGAAGGAGTCTATGTATTGTCGCCTTCTCCACATTCGACTTTGAAACGATGCTGTCTGTCCCCGCAAAGCTCATACTACCCCAGGGGTCATGTGGAGGGGTAGCAAGACACACGAGTCAAAACGGCCAAGAACAAGCCTTTTTCCCTGGGGAAAAGCACAATAGAGTGTTGCACTTGTATCCCAGAGGCTATTGTTACCCGATTCGACCACCTTGGATAATAATTGTCTTATAGTCTCTTCTTCTTCCCAAGAGACCGGAACTCGGAGAATGCTTGTCAGACAGACATTCTGCGGAAGTCGGGCTTGGTGGCGGGCTACGCTGCTTGAAAGCTGGGGGACGTTACAGTAGGATCAGGATGCTGAAATCCGTACATATCCGGCAATTTTGACCGGCTGCTTGGGAATCCGGGATTCGTTTGCCCTTTTGGAAAGTCCCCCATGGGTATTGTGTGGGGTTTAGAGAGGAAGCTCGAATTTGTTTATCCGCAGTTTTTCTTTTGTCTCCATACGAATCTACAATTGTATATTACTGTGGTTGATGAATTGCTTGGAAGGTGTCAGATATGTAAGAGCCCACGGGCAAGAATTCTGCCTGAACAAGTTCGGTTTCGCAACAGGCAGAGGATGAAGATACGATCAAGCTAGCGCATCTCGAATATGACTGATGACACTATCTCATCCCACATGCCCACCGCGAGCCGTGATATCCGTAGCTACACGTCTTCGGTCTAAATCATCCCGCCTAGATGTCACAAAACAACTCACGTCGGTCGCCCACACAACCTCTGCTAAGCGATACGTATCCGTAATCCCGCTGGCCCATCATCCATGATAAGATCTTTGCCACGAAAGACGTGCTTTGAGAAGGACCACCGGCAAAGGTTCCAGACACCATGCCATTTCAACTCTAGTAGGCTCAAGTATCGGACTTGCACCAAAACCGGTCCCACGTCCGCGAGTGGAGCCGCCCCGGACCCTACTTGTCACTGACACTATCAGTCGTCACCGTCCCAGAACCCTCCAAGACGGGCTGCTTCGTTGACCCTGCAGTCCGAGAGATGCGTCCGCCGAAGTGGCGTTGTGTTCTCCGCCGGCGGTGACGGGCAAGCGGGCAAGCGGGCATGCAGTGTCAAACCCCGGTCTTTGGAGGCATTCACAAGGCCGCCAGTTGCCAGGATGCGAGTTGAGGATTGCCTATCGACTTGAGCACCTTGATACTTGCGTGGGACTGTCCCTATCGCAGACTTGATAGACGGCATATCATATGATGACTAATCTTTGTAGCCATTGATGAGATTCTCTGATCAGTGTCATGCATAATAATACCTCTTCCACGCCGTCCTCCAGAATTTCCAATATGCGGCCTCACCTGCCCCGCGTCCGAGGGATGCAGACACAACACCGAACTATCGGGCCGTCTCTTTCCAAATTCAGGGTTTGGCGGCGCTGCCACGTCCCCTCATGTTGTCATTCGTTTTGAGAGTCTGGGGCCGCTGGTGGTAAATCGTAAGGGCCGGCACTCCAACCTCCAAGAGATGGGGAAAAACGACCGGCTCAATGCCTCAGGGTATTATGAGCCAAGGTAAGTTTACTCATGTTGCTGTACATAGACTTACAGGGGTAGAGAGAGTTGTGGTAGCGTATAACCAAGTTACCAATACGTAGAAAACCTTATTCTAGAGTTGCGGTGGTTGCCGCATTAGTCGAGACTATCGTAAACACGCACTTACACGAGCCCAAGAGCAGCACCGTACTTCTTGCGCCATACCACATTAAAACCACATAATCAGAACAGTGCAAAAAAAGTTGAGTTGTAGCCAAAGCCATCATTACAAATTCTGTATTTCTTCATGGTCATAAAATCGTATCGTGTCGCGTCGGAAGCCGACGTAATTGTTGCTTTGTGAATGAACCGCTCAAAAAACCACACAACCGCCATGCAGCAACGCTATGCTAGTAAAAGAGAATGCAGGCTATTCAGAGGGTGTAAAGCCAACCAGAAACATATCGCTGATGTGATGCATCATTTGCTGCGACGGGCACTCCATAGATCCTCCGCGTTACCCCTGAACAACCTGTCAACCAGAACATCATCCTTCCCGCACCAGTCAAGCACCGTCTCCATCCAGGGCCGGATATCTAAACCCTCGAACCGGGTATGGGGCCAGTCCGTCGCAAAGATGACTCTGTCCTTGCCCCGCAGGTGAAGCACCTCTCGCGCAATCGGTTCCAGGTCGCTATGATCGGCCTTGGAACTCAGCCGGTACGGCGCCGATAACTTGACGTAGGTGTTTCCAGCACGGAGCAGCTTGGCCAGGGACTTGAAGCCCTTTATATCGTAAGGGTTGTGTGACGGCATGTCCTTGATGCTAGGATGTCCGAGGTGATCGATGCAGACGCGCACGCCGAGCGTCGGGACGATGGGCTCGAGAAGCTCGATCATGGACATGGGCATGTACACCTGTATCACCAAGTCCAGAGGCTTGCAGTCGTGGGCATACCGACGGAGTAAAGAGTCGAGCTCCATGGCGTTGAGGGATTTGTCCGCCGAGGAGAGGTTGATCCGGACGCCTCGTACACCGAGCCTGTGCCACTCTGCCAGTGTGCTCTGAGACAGGCTGCCGGGTTCGAAAGCCACCACTGCCCTGCCGCGGCGTGGACCGAGGGCACGCAAGGCGTCGAGGAGGCAGGTGTTGTCGTTGCCGTAGATGGAAGGCTGCACGAGGACGATGTTGTCGATGCCGACGGAGGACTCGAAAGCGAGGGCGTGGTCGAGGCGGTGCGTCTTGGGGCAGTAGACGGCGTCCTTTGCCAAGGGGTAGGCGGCCGGGTCGACGACGTGCATGTGTGAGTCCCACGCACCGCGGGGGATCCGCTCCGGGAGAGTCAGTTTCCGCCGTGCGGTGGTGGTAGCTGCGGCGACGACTCTGGGTATCAACTTGTCGTCGTTGCGCCGTGTAGTTGGTGCCATGATGGGCTGGAGGAGGGCCATGATGGATTTGATGTGATGGAGGAGAGTGGAACGGGCCTGGAGGATGGGCTTGGTTTGTAGCATGGTGAGGGCGTCCCTATGTGTAAGAGATGAAAAGGCCCGGGTGGAGGCAAAGAGGTGAGAGAGGCTGCTGCTGCTGCTGCTGAGGAGTTGACGAGACTCTAGAGGACAAGGGGTGGTTGAGGGCTGAGAGTGGTATGGAAGGGATGAATCCTTCTCCTCGCGTGAACAAACTGGCGACAGGACCGACGACACGGGGTTTCTGTCATCCGCAACTGTTACGACGACGGGGAGCGGCAGCGGCATGGGAGGAGGAGTTGCAGCAGGTGTAGGTGTGCGATGACGGCGGCGGTGCAGGCGCACATATGGACGTCGGCCCATGGCGCTTGGTGAGATTCCGCCGAAGGCCCGGCTCGTTGATGTGTGGATCATTGAGTTGCAGCATCCTCAAGAAGATGACCGGCTGTATAATACAAGAGGAGATGTGGTTCTCCAGTCGCCCGCCTCCGGTCTCCAGCAGGAAGCATGCAAGAGGTACGGAGTAGCAAGTAGTAGGAACGATAGTGGAGATGTGACCCGTAGATGGAGAGTTTGAGGAAGAGGAGACCGGAGTGGGAAAAAAAGAAGAAAAAAAAAGACCAGAAAAGATGGCAGGCTTTGCTATGTGGTGTTTTGGTGGTTGGATTTTTGGTGGTGCGTTGGGCTCGGAGGATGACCGATACCACAAGGTAGCGCAGATGCGGCTTTGCTAGTGTAGTTGCGGACGGCGATGTGCGCGGTGTTTTCCCTACTACGGATGTGTACCGTGTAACCGTGTAACATCAAGAGTCCAAACTACCTTTACGCATACATTATTTCACCTATTTTCAGCACACACCATGGAACCTGACCGACGACCATGCAGCGGTTGTCAAGTCACAAAGTGGAGGGGATGATTGGCCTCCAAGCCCTCGGGTTATTGGACAGCGGCCCTTAAACTTACCACGGACGTGGAGAGAGACTGCAGAGACTACGGATACTTGCCGTGGGTGCGTGGCTAGGTGCCCTTGGTCGTGCTAGGTGGTGGAAGAAGAGAGAGCAAAGCAAGCAGTGGCAGCGTCACTTTGCTCGCTGTTCGCCACGAGTCAGGGCGCGGACCACCGACGTACGGCTGCGAGGGCCGTCGGAAGTTGACCGAGAGTTGAGAGAGAGAGACTGAGAGAGAGAGCGTGAGAGCCACAGAGAGAGCCGGTAGCAGAGAGAGATCAGCGGTAGGCTGGTCGCAAGAGTCTAGGAGAGAGATGGGACGGACGAGTGGCCTGGAACCCGGCCGGAAGCCCCCCGGGAATACCGTTTCGACGCCAATGTACAGAATAGGCCAAATCATGTAGCTCTACTGCGAACTTGACGTCGGGGGATACATTGGTCCCTTGCCTTAGCCCCAAGTCCGGCACTTGGGCGGCGCAGCGGGAGGGAAGGGCTGTGAATGTGGTGGGATTGGAGTCATTGGACAATTGGAATCTTGGAGAGTCTTGGAGAGAGTTTGGGAACTGGATGAACGCAACTCCCGGCCGATGGTGGAGTGACATTACTAAGATTGTTCCCCCCTCCATCATCTGTAGTCTCCTCCAGGCTCTTCTTTCACCCTCCCGGCCTCCCCTCCTGCGACCTTTTCGTTCGGTCAACGTCCGATGGCCTCCTGCGAAGAGGTCTGAAGCTCTCTGAACCCATACAGTCTACCCCCACTCTCTTTTCTGCACGAGATCTCCTCTCGCGTCTCCTCTCCTTGCCCGCGCGATCGCCCGCCGAACGAAATCGTGGGGTTCGAAACCACTTGAACCAGGGCCGGCACACAAGGGCCCATCCAAAAATCCGGAGAACATCGAGAGAGGTTACCCGTTGGGCCGTTTCCCATCGAGGGCGAGGCCCAGGCCGCGCACTACAGCCGTCTTACCCCGTGGGATAGAATCGAGTTCCCCTCACCCACACACACCCCGCGGGTTTTTTTTTTTTTTTGTCTTGGAGCAAACGACGACGGTTTTCCGTCCAACGGGAAACGAGATTCGGTGACACAGACTCTCTATCCGTACGAAGACCATAGGGCGAATTCGAAGAACATAAAGTGAGGCGAGGGATCGGAGGTGGGTGTTGGTGCGAGCTCGTCCCGTCTGAGATTGCGTATCGGAAAATAGGGGGCAAAAATTACGACTGGAACAAAAAAGCTTGAAAATTCTTCTTTTTGCATTTCAAACCGCTGGCAACTCTTTTCTTGGTTTGCGCCCGCAACCAAATCTCTCGTCCAATCCGTCAGAACCCTTCGCTCGATATCGACGCAAAGAAAGGGCGTCGCGGGGGGGGGTTTTTAAGATGGTCCAATTCAACTCTTATTATCTCCTTACCATCATCGTTATCTCGTGCGGGTCTATTCCCAAGGGTAAGTAGTCAGTTCCCGTTAGATCTTGCGGTCAACATCCGTCCGACCTTGACAGGCGATCCGTCCCTTTTTTTTACTCCACCGTCCACACACACCAAAAATCACAAACCCGCGGTGCGCTAACTAGCTTCCCGTAGGCTACGATGAAGGCGGATTCAGCGCGTCAACGGGCCTTGCGTCCTTCAAGGAGGATTTCGGTCTCGTCTCGAGTCTCTGGAAGGGCAACGAGTCTGGTCTGGCTGACCGCAAGGCAAACATCTCGTCCTTTGGAGTCCTCGGCGCCGCCTTCGGTTCCATCATCGCGCTCGCCGTAAATGACCGCCTTGGACGATTGAGGGCATGGCAGCTCTTCATCGCCGTTTGGATGACCGGGGCCTTGATGCAGGTCTTCTCGTCCGGCATCCTGGGCCTGATGCTGTTTGCTCGTATTTGGGGCGGACTCGGCGCCGGAGGACTCACAGTCGTTGCGCCGCTATACCTCTCCGAGATTGCGCCCGCGAGGTCGCGCGGCATGGTCGTTAGTATCTACATGATCGTGTTACTGTCATTCCTCACCATTGGTAAGGCACCCTTCCCGGAGTAAACCCTGGTATCACAAGCCCGTTGTTCCCACGTACTGACCTACCATGGTCCAGGCTTCTTCGTCAACTACGCTGCGAACGCGACGCTCGCCGCGACGAGGATGCAGTACCGCCTCGTCATCGCCATCCCCCTCATCCCCGTAGGCATAGCCTTCGTCACCTCTTTCTTCCTCGACGACACCCCCCGCTGGCTCGCCTCCCGAGACCGCGGCGACGAAGCCCTCGCCGTCCTCGCGAAGCTCCGGCACGCCTCCCCGAGCGACCAGGCCCTCGCCCTTGAATACGACGAGATCCACGAACAGATCCGTATGCGGGACCAGATTCTCGCCGACTCGTCCACCTGGGCCATCATCAAGGACATCGCTACGATCCCTACGTACCGCACGCGCTTCCTCCTCGGTGCCGTCATGCAGACAGTCGCGCAATGGTCCGGCGGAAACGGCATCACGTACTACATCCCCGAGATCTTCCGGTATGCCGGTGTGGTTGGCGATAACACGTCTCTCATTACCAGCGGCGCGTACGGTGCTGTGAAGCTCGTCTTCACCATGGTCTTCACGTGGGGTCTCGTCGACGTCTTTGGTCGCCGCCGGTGTTTCATGACAGGCTTGTTCCTGCAATGCATCACGCACGTGTACATGGCCATCTACATGGCCATCTGGATCGACGGCACGAACAAGTCCGCCTCCGACGCCGCCATCGCCTCCGTCTTCATCTACGCCGTCGGCTGGTCCATCGGCTTGTGCACGGTACAATACCTCTACGGCACGGAAATTTACCCGACCCGCATCCGCAGCGTCTGCTACGCGAGTAACATGGCCCTGCACTGGTTCTTCCAGTTCGCCGTGGTGCGTGTGACGCCCAACATGTTTGTCAGCCTCGACGTGTGGGGCGCATACGTGTTCTGGGCGTGCGTTTGCGGTGTCGGCCTCGTCGTCCTCGGCCTGTGGGCACCGGAGACGAAGGGCATCCCCATGGAGAGGATGGAAGAGCTGTTCAGCGGCCGGTGGTGGATGGGATGGAGAGCGAGTGTGGATCTGGATTCGAGCGAGACGAAGCCCTTGGGCAGAGGCGACTCCTCGGGCAAGGAATCAAAAGAAGCCCCGTTTCCGCATGACCGGAAGACGGATGTCTGAGTTGGGGCCAGGGGGTGCTTTCTTAGTTCATATTTATGAGTCTCTATGTTTCTTGTAATGATAAACAGATCCCAATTGTACAAATTCATCTTCACTGTATGTGTGCTCGCCTTGTTGGGCTCTCGATTGAAGCTGAGTTTCTTCCCCCGGGCCGCCCGGCCGAGTGTTCGGGGCCGAAATCGGCAATTGTGGGTCTGTTCGGCCGATAGGTAAGCCCGCCAAGACGGGAAGGTGAGAAGGCAATCATCACCTGAAGGATCGGGACCCCTCACAGGGCAACGTCGTCGCGAACGAGTGCTCTTCGTCATCATTGCCATCAGCTAACTTCTTTTCAATCCTTCCATCCTACTATAAATCAGTCAATGCATCTTCCTGGAAGTGTTTGTGCTTGACTGCGTTCCACACAATGAAAGCAAACATGGACAAGAAGCAGGTCACAGAGATCCAGCCGCGGGCGGCACGCCCGCCGCCGTCTCGAAAGACCGGACTGCGTCAACGGCTCATATTCGCCGGCGTCATCTTTGCGGTTGGTATGTTCAACATCTACCTCACAAGAAAACGCCGGTTGGACCAGAACCACGGATCGGATCTTGTGCCACACCCGGTCCCAGTACAAGAATCCCCGTTTGGGCGGTTCCCCTTGCCCAAAGATCCCTTCAAGCTCATCCCTTGCACGAATGCTTCAGTCCCGCCGGCCCTCGATGACACTCATCCCGAAGAGACGTGGGCGAGTACTTTCGACCCTGACCCTTCCAATTGGAGCTGGGGAAACAAGACCGTCTCGGTTGATGGCGACGACAGTGACCCCTTCACCGGCCGAGGCATCTACCTCTGCGGGTATCTGGAAGTACCGCTAGACTACACCAACAAGTCCGACGACCGGATCGTCCGACAAGCCATCATCAAATACCAAGTCTCGGGCCTAGCCCGCGTAGGCGAACCCGACAACGGCACCAGAAACCCACCTCCGGGCGGTAGAAGCGAGCGCACTATCGTCCTCGAACCCGGCGGCCCAGGCGGCAGCGGGACCTCGTACGGATGGAGAGTCGCGGAGCAAGTCACTAAGCGTCTCAGCGACGGCAAATTCGACGTGCTGGCCTGGGACCCGCGAGGCGTCAACATCACCCGCCCCTCCATCTCCTGCTTCCCCTACGACGTCGACAGAGACCACTGGTCCATACTGACGGGCCAATACATTGAGGTCGCCGCTGATCCGAAGCGCCAGCTGCAAATCGCCGACGCCATGAACGACGCCACCTTCAAGGCCTGCTGGGAAGTCCACGGCGACCTCGGCCGCTTCATGGGCACCGCCATCGTCTCGCGCGACTTGGAGGAGATCCGCAAGGCTTTGGGTGAGGATGAGCTGACGGGGTACCTCGTCAGCTACGGCACGGGTATCGGACAGACGTACGCAAACATGTTCCCGGACAGCGTCGGCCGTGTGATCCTCGACGGGACGGAATACGTCCGCGACCACCGCGAATTGGGCGGCTTCGGATGGACTGCGCTCGACAACGGCACCCACGCCTGGTACGACGGGTTCCTCGGCGAATGCATCAACGCCGGGCCGGACCACTGCGCGCTAGCAAAGCTCAAGAGCAGCAGCGGCGAGCCCGTCGCGCTGAAGGATCTGGATAAGCGCATGATGTCCCTCATCACATCCCTCATCGACCGCCCTGCCATCGGGTACACGGAAGATAGCGGCCCGTCCCTCGTAACGTACTCGGTCCTCGTCGCCGCAATCTACTCGGCCCTCTACAACGCCCAGAGCTGGCCGGCCCTCGCCCAGATGCTATACGAGCTCGAACAGGGCAACTCGACCCTTGCCGCAGCCTACCTGGAAGACCGCGCCTGGCAATACGACCCGACCGTCCCCGCGACGCCCAACAAGCGGCCGACGTCGGAGGAACTTGCCTTCATCGTCATCTGCGCGGATGCCTACGACGCGCCGCTGCCGCCCGACGGACTTGTCTGGTGGGAATCGCTCTGGGCCAACATGTCGTCCCAGTCCTGGGTCGCGGGCAACTCTCGCTTCTTTGACGTCTTCCCCTGCCAGCAGGTGCACAAGTACTGGCCTGAACCGGTGGACGTGTACCGCGGGGACCTGAACCACACGCTCAAGAACCCGATCCTGTTGATTGCGGAGACGTATGACCCGGCTACGCCGCTGCGTAACGGGCGTAGGTTGCTGAATGAGATGGGGCGGAACGCGAGGTTGATTGCGCATCATGGGTATGGGCATGCGTCGAGGGATACATCTGATTGTACAGATGGGCTCGCGAAGCGGTATATCCTCGAGGGGACGTTGCCTGAAGAAGCAGAGACGGCGTGCTATGCTAACGAGAAGCCGTATTTGTATGGTGTCAAGGACAAGAGTGTGAGCGCTGCAGCTGATGGGGACTGGAATCCTGTCGCTGCGTGGCGGGAGCATCAGCGGGAAGTAGCTCACCTGCGTCTTTGAAGAACTTGGGAGTGATAGTCTTTTGGTCAGTGTAATGTGCTAGTTAGTAAGCAGTGTATGCCCATAGGCAGGGATTTGGAGGAGGAGGGACTTGAGTCGATCATGTTCACATCTTAATCTTGACCTCTTTTCTCCATACCTGTCGGCTGTTTTGTAGCGTAAGGTAGCCGCTGTAATCTATCGACCTCGAAAACTCAGAAATCTTGGCCTGGAGTGTTATGCAACCCTTTCAAGGGGCGCTGCTCGCAAGGCACCATTCTTCATCACTGTCTTCCGCGGAGGCTGCTGAGATGTCCGAGAATGCGACCGCGACCGGCAGGATGCATTTCGGGCGTGTCCAGAGGAGAGATGCCAATACATCCTCCTGTGGTTTTTTTTTCCAGGAGTGGGATCACCCAAGCATCCTTCGAACAACACGATAGAAGGAGAGAGACAAGGCTTCCTCTCACTTCCAATGACACTAGCATGCTCGCTCCCTTCCTCTTGAGCGTCGAAGTGCCATTTTTCTCTCAGTGATGGATTCGCGAGGGATGTCATCGTACAATGTACGACCCCAATGAAGGAAGTCATAAAAGCGTGCCTGCTGGACTTGATCCTTGATGATATCTTGTGTCTGAAGAAATTTCTTTTTGTTAACCTTCCAGGGGCCTTTATATGTTTTATGATATTATCGTAAAATCCACACTTAGGGCCGATGTTGGTACCAAAAGGTGGCGCTGAGTTTTCACTCAGTGGGTAGCTTACTTGAATGATGTGCATAGATGGTCAGGGAGGGGCAATTGGACTCAAAACCTTGTACGATAGATGCATCGAACCTCGATGGGAGATTTGGGACACATCAACCAACTTGACCAACAGGTCTCATACGGTGGTAGACGGAAGATCCATGCTCCCGCATTTTTCGTTGTCAGTTTGCGCCTGCTTCTAGAAAGAGTCTACTTCAAGGTGGGCAACTCTTCACTACCTTACACAACTGCCAATGGTGATGACTGGATCCGAGCACGTGCCCGAGAGGTACGTGTATCTCACAACATGTAAAAAAGTAAGTACCTGGTGTTCGAAGCAGTCACGAAATTCGTTCTTAGTTACTTCAACAGGGACTGAAGGTTCAAAAGATCCTCGTGTTGGCCTTCTTTTGGCAATCTCGAGACATGACACCCCGATAGCCACGGCCCTAGGCTCAATGGCCATCTACCTTACCTTGCTTATATCCCCATAAGTACATCATGTGGGCTCATAGCACCTCATATCTCGAGCGAGAAAGTGAGGTGATGACCAGCTGAATCACTGCTGAGTAGATCATTGGCGGGACGGCCGAAGCATTCAATGCTTGGGGAGTGCTGGCCCTCCAACATTAACTGACGATGTCAAAGCCGCAGTGGAACCTGGGACCTCCATGATCCTTCCGGCAAAACCGAATTCAAGACAACATAGACAACGAGTTCGATGGATCGTTCAATGCCTGAGCACCAGGTCTAGAGCGTGTAATAAATGCCATGCGGGCCAATCGACATGGAGCAACGCTTATTTGTGTTTTTTATGTACAGTGACTTGGCTATAGAGAGTATATCATAGTTGAAGTTTTAGGTGGCTCGAGTATGGTACGCTACTTCGAAATAAAGCCGGAGTGTCAATATTTACCGGCAGTTGCAGTAGACACTGACATTGAATGTTAGCAAGTCATTGAGACTTCTGCAAGACAAGGACTTACAAATCTAGCGCAGTAGCGCCGCCTCCCCCTGAGCAACCATCGTAGGTGCCAGACTGCTCCTTGCACTGTTTTCAATGATTAGTATCCAAGAATCAATGATGGAGTTCACATGAGTTTACCTTGGCCGGGCAGCCACTGATGCAGTCAGACTGCGTGCCGTAGACGTGTCCCGTCCAGGCGTGTGCGGCCAGAGGCGCTGTGAGGGCGATGACGAGGGTGAGGAACTTCATTTTGTTGTTTGTGTAATGATGAGTTTAGTAGATGACGTGGGCTCTAAGAGGGAAACAATAAAGCTACCGTTTGTGGATATCACGGTCTTCTTATAGTGGACTTCAGAGCATGCCGCATGCAGTTACACAATTAAAGGCACTAGTGTTTATTTCTCAGACTCTCGTAAAGCATCAGCCGTCGGACACCGAAGATTCTTGGTTCCGTTCCTTCAGATCGTTCTACCTTACACAGCTACGATTGGCCATGAAAGCTTTTTAGATTGAGCTGGTAACCCAAAGTCTATTTTGTTGGCTTATGGGGCTAGTTGCTAGGAACCCAAGTCTGTTGTGTCATATAACCTGGCGGTATGATGTGATACGGTGCAAAATATGTCTCTTTGGGGCCATAGTAGCCGAGCTTTAACTCTATGCATATAAGTAAAGACTTTAACTACATCGATAAAGAACTTCAACAGGTCAATGGCAAGTGGCTGATCTGTTTGCTAATAATATAGAATGGAACAATCGCCCCCATAATGGGGATTGCAGCATTCGCCGGTGGGATGCAACGACCAAGTCATGCAATCGTCGGCACTATGTATATTCGTAACTAGCCTGGGCTATGAGTATCCACGCAAATTTCTCAGACTTTTACATTCGGATCCCGAAAACGATCCCCGGCTTTGTTGTACGGGTGAATGTCCTGGCGATCGAGGCGTGGTGGCTCACTACCGACCTATCCGATGCAGCTTGAGCATGACTCGACGAACGACAGGAGTCAAAGGCAACACGATATTGACCAATGAATGCCCTACAAATACGATGTAGGCGTATTGGGCCAATGTCCAAGACATCAATACGGTTCAAAGACTTGGCTTTAAGCCTCCCATGCGGATTCGGCAGGTGGAGTTTCTTCGGATATTGCTGCTCGCGTTATGTAGCCAACGGGGCGTGTCGTGTAGGGAGTCGTGAGTGAGGCTGTGTCATCAGATCTTCTCTCGTAGGGTCATTCTACCGCCCAGACCAGATTACTACAGTGGGTACAGTCTGTGGGCGCCTTGGCGACGGAGTCTCCGGTCAACCAGTGTTCATACCAATGCGGATAACTAATGTTCCTTCTGTGTCGCCCGGATATCCGGGACCTCCGAGTTATGATACTCAAAGTGCTAGCGCAATACGGCCACTTGGTCTGGGCAAGGGAATTACCAATGTTGTCCATGAAATACTCACCACTGATGTGCGATGGTTGTGCCTTTGAGAGACTGAGCTCTTGCTAAGCTGGTTTCCTCGATCGTGTTTCAATTACAAGATGCTCTAAAGTATGAGACTAACGCAGATATTCAATTCACTATCAATTTCGCAATACAATACGCACTTCTATCAGTCGCTTAATCGTATCTACCTGCATGAGATATCACGATGAAAGACACATGTCGTGAGATGCAGTAGTCTTGGTTAGTTGCAGTATGCACTAGCAGGAAACCAGAAGCAGGGTCACTGGAATAATCGGGACCTATATACTGCATGTATTGATCATCAAGTAGAACAGATGGCCACTTTTCACATTTTGACAATTCATTAATATTCTATAAGTTATGGTACTTTTATCGGGACAGATCAAAATGGACAAGCTGGCTCGAAGAGCGAGTAAGCTGATAATTCATGTTGAGGCCATATGAGAAAGATTTGGGTATTGTGTGTTGGTTCATGGGCCAACATGAGGTCCACTGTCCGTCCTCTTCGCCAAGTTGGCGACATCCGAATAGGTAGCCTGCGCTTGGCTCATGCTGTACTAAGACTAGAGAGTTTGTCTCCTAAGCCCGAGAATGATTCGTAGAAGAAGCGCCAGTATAATTGGTGGGTTGATCCGCGTGTTGCGCATCGGCATCGTTGCTGAGTCCAGCTATGCGTAGCTGGCGCTGGAATACGGATAGCATAGTGTTTTCGCTACTTCCGCGCGAGGAATGCCTTGCTGTGATGTTTACAGCTAGTTTCCGTAGCATGGGGATTGATGTGGCCATGATTGTGGCTGATATCTCAGCGCTTTCCCAAATGAAGAGGGTGCTTAATGTGTCTGGGGAGGAAGTGTCAGCCTGGAATGAGCCCATGGCCTTCAAATGATTTCTCAATCGCGCACAGATGCATTAAGACTTACAGATACTTCCGGAGTCGAATATACTGCGTGACTGCGGTCCGAAGAGATATAAAACTTTAACTATCCCAGTAGCTCCAGCGCTGCGAAAGACGTCAATAGACGAACCCCAGACTCGAGTGTTGATACAACGGATGCGAAACCGAAACTTACACAATGCCCATACTCATCGCAACGCAGATCCCGACGCGTTCTCGTGTGCTAAGATGAAGGGGCCATATGATTTTCCATGGCAGCAAGGAAAGAAAGATGTCCAAGAAAGCCGAATATGCTGCGCGCGAGAGATGGTCAGCGATTTCAAGCCTCGACCGAACCCAGGGTAACATAGATAGAGGGAATGCCATTACCGTTAACAAATATCCCGAACGGAACTGACACTTCGCGTGGCCAGCATGGCTCCGGTCTGCCAGGGCCGCATGGATTGAGAAAGAACGGCAGCCACAGCGCAATGAAGAGGTTCATGGAGAAGATGATGAACCACAGCATCCACCGAAGCTTCCCCGTCATTAAACGCATGAGCGTGAAGGCGAATGATGTCTTGCTTAGCGCCCACGCTATGTTTGACATTATCCCGGCTGCCCCACTGATCTTGCTGTACTTGGGGATGGTTAATATCCCCGCAAATGTGGACGCACTTAGAAGCGCGACACGGAGCCATATCATGGAAGTGAAGAGAATCTAGATGTCGTATTAGAAGAGCAAAAGAGAACTTAGAGACAAATTGCGCGGAGGCGCATACTAACCCATGCGGCAAGTATGACATAGTCGTCCGTTCCCAGTCGCCAGCTCCTCAGCGCGACGACTCTTGCGTAAATCCTGAGAGCGAGAAAGGTCGTTGCCAGGACAAAGAGGACAACCAAGGACGCGATTGCTCGTAAGGTTGTCGAGGGTAACGTATTATCCATGGTGTCCTTTCACGACGCCATTCTGGCAGCGAGGTAATAGCCGTGGTAATATCATGGGACATTGAAAAAGATGAAACACCAAGGACAGTAGGTCGGGATTCCGGGAAGACGGCGAGAGCGGAAAAGAAAGATATTCAGTCACGGGCCAACCTCCCAAGCTTGGACTATTTCGTGACTGGTGTGGTTCGGTCCAGAGGGAGGAAGCGGAAAAAGCAAAATGTTGCAGATGATAGAATCCTAAATTTATCTCTTGTATTCTCTTGGCTAGTCGATTATGAGCGGTGACTATGCCCACCGGCAGTGGCTTACCGGTGGTTGGCTTGAGCCTTTGTACCCCTTCGGTGGCTCTCAGCACTTTTGACGCGGATTGATACATGTGATATTGGGTGTCTTAAGGTTTCAAGCCTGGGCAGAAAGTCTGAAGGTTAAATCTCTTCTCTACTCTATCTCGACCCCCTTTCTTTTCAAGCTTTGGTAAACAGAGTTTGGAGTTCCTCTTATGTACATATTTTCGAAGTGATGACATCAATAAATAGGTAGAGCACGACGTAGTTGCAGTGTATTCATCTCGCTCTTCAAGAGATAGACACCGTAGGATGAGAAGAAAGAGGTAAGCCTTCCGCGGTTTGGTTTCAATGCACCACTCAGTGGCCTGTTCAGGGCCACTGAATCGACTTGACCGCGTGAAATGCCGCAACAGGATGTGCGCAGGCCATATGGTGGCACAAGCCGGGGTTCAGACTCACTTGACTGCCGGACTCCTTGCCTGTAGCTCAAGCTACTGCGACAACGGCCAAGATGCTATGGATTGTCAATGTCTTTGGTGCCGAAAGAGGATTGGATGCAGCTGCCGCGCAGGGAGACACTAGGCCGAACCTAATGATCCTGTGGCGTATGCACATCTCAGCCAGGGTCTAAGACAACCCGCAGCATCACGTTGGCTTCAGGTGCAGGAGTCTGGACTCGCGCCATCATACCATAACGGTCGGAGGAAGTACGCCGTGCACCAGAGACATTGACAAGTCATATTCAGCCTCTGGCAACTTGCGCCCGGCTCAGCTTATTGCCGGAGTTACTGGTTCTATATTTCCTAGAACAGGCCAATTGCTCAACACTTGTCGTCCTGAGAGACGCCAAACTAAAACCCGCATGACTTCATGTTCCGAATCCAAGCTACTTGTGAATCACAATTCGCTTAACGTATCTCTAGATTGGGGGACCTAGGTACTAGAGTAACCAGTGACATATTGATACTCTGCTATTCCTGCTACAGTCAACTAGGATTCCTCAAGGAGCCGGGTGCCAAGTGTCAATCTTCGGGTACATAGTTGTGAGGCCTAAATCCACTCAGCCGGACTCTTCAATCCTAGCTTCTCGCTAACACCCTCTGTTTCTTGTGCTTTCTTGTTCACGCTCTCCATCTCGAAGCCAGCCACCTTCTTGTAAACCCGACCAATGTCTTCTAGTCCATCTTTCGGGACGACATCATAAACATTCTCAAAACCGTTAGACGCTCTTTCTTCGCAAGCTTGCAAGACGTGATCTGGTCCGTTTCCTCGGTTTGCCATTATAATCTTGGACGTGGCTGGCAACCGCTCCGACTCGTATGCCTTCAGCGCCGCCACCACATCGTCTGGGTTCTCGACAAGTTGCTTCGCAAGAGTCTCTGCGTCGATAATATCCTGCGAAGCGCCGTTTGAGCCAATCGGGTACATGGCATGCGCAGCATCGCCAAGCAAAGTGAGAAGGCCGAAACTCCAACGCTCAACAGGGTCCCGATCGCTCATGGGAAACTCAAAGACCTTCTCATTAGCGTCGATGAGATCTTTCATCTCGAGCCCACCACATCGCCATCCTTGGAACGGACCCTCAAACACAGACTTGTCGACCGCTTTCGTCCAGTCTGTCTTTGGCGGAGTGAGATCCTCATCGTCCTTGTCTCGTATCCTGAGCTCGGCGATCCAGTTCACGAGACTCTTGCCCTTGTCCGCTGAACGTTGGCTGATGGGGTAGGCAATGAACTTTTGATCGGCGTGACCGGCCCATACCATTGATGCTCCGGTGAGGTACGGCTCACGCTCGATACAGCCGCGCCAGAGCATGCGGCCCGAGAATCGCGGCGAGACTTCGTTGGGTAGAGAACCCTTCTCGCGGTCGAGTTGATTCCGTCGGCGGCTATGAGGATATGACCTGTGACGTTTGACTGTCCTGCCGTCGCACCATCTCGCCGTTGCGAAAATTCTGCTGTAATGGTCTTCTCGTCCTGTGAGAACCCTGTCAGAGCGTGGTTGAGGTTGACCGCCCCTTCGCCCAATCGCTCTTTGACGGCACTCAGAAGCAGCATCTGGCATTCGCCGCGGTGAACGCTGAATTGAGGCACCGCATAGCCTGCCTTGAGACCTCGCGGCTCGCTAAGAATGGGGTGGCCGTGGCGGTTGTAAAAGTTGAGCTCTTGCGTTTTAACACCGGTTTTCTCGAAAGCTTCCAGGAGTCCGAGATTGCGAAGAATTAGAATGGCGGAGGGTTGCACGTTGATACCGACGCCAAGAGTTGTGAGTTGTGACGCTGCCTCGAAGATGTGGATGTCGGTGTAACCAGCTGCATGGAGGGACAGGGCCGCTTTGAGGCCACCAGTCCCTGCACCGGCGATGATGATCTTGGGCTGAGTGTTTAGAAATGGCCTTTTGCGTGCTCTCGATTGGTAGTTGTGAAGAAGCCAATTGTGACAAAGTTGAATAGACCGAGAAACGAGGGGTTGTTGTCACGAAGTCATGAGGTCACGAAGTCATGAGGTTGGGTCATAACATAGAAAATGCATAATCAAGCCTCCACCGGCAACTTCAAGTCTAAGTGGTTCCGAAAGTCGGAATCGGTGGAGTTCTATGACTGCCGACTTTAGGTGCCGCGATTTAGCAAAATTTTACAAGATCCACAGAAACTAGGACCACCGATGCAGTTCCGCTTAGCACTCAACACCTGATCACAACTTATTCGTTAATCTTGAATTATTGTCAGGTTGGAACTCAGTATGGCCGTTCACGTTCAACCATGCCACTGGGTAAACTCCGTAGCTCCGCTTCGTTTGCTTCACCCCGCACAACTACCCCAGATCACGATGCTTTGGCCCTCTTCTGAACCCCGTGGGGATCTGGCCGAAGGTGGAAGATTCAAGATCCTGGTCCTGGCCCCGGCCCCGATCCACGAGACTAGCGGCCGAGCTCTGGACCGACAGCACTCCACTGGAGTCTGGAGATGATGAATTGACAAGATCGCCGAACACAACGTAACTTAGGCTCACGAGCTTTGTTCATCAGCCGAGTAATCGAATGCTCAGGTAGATCCCTTCGCCAGGCCGTCGTTAGTCGCGCCATTCTCACTCCAAGCAATGTGAGCTTGCTCACTCTCGTCTCAGTGTATTGCGCGGGAATCGCAAGAGACGGCCGATGATCGGGTGTTCTCATTATACGTGGCAGAAACTTCTCGCATCGTATCCGAGATTCAACAGATCGTAAAGAGACGAGACTAGCCACCTTCTCAACCTTCTCAACAATCAAACAATTGCAGCACACAGCTTGACGGCTGTAGGCCCAGAGAGAGGCGCAGACAAAACTTCATGATGCTGGACTGTCACACCATGAGGCATAATGGGAGGAAGTGTAACTAACAAGCGTCTGCTGCTCCCCAAAATTTCATTTCATTTGGCATGAAGCTGAGTTGTTTTCAGCGGGATGTCAATGTTGCCTCTGTGCGGGCTGCGAACTGCAAGTTGATAACGGTCCCTGTCGGCAGCTCGCAACTTGGTATGAGCCCATATTCCCATCCCGGTGTTAGACCAAAGGGAACATCTTGCTGAATCCATCTTCGATCTCGTCGACAGTGTCACCGCCATGAAGAGAGCCAAAGAGGATGATTACGTGGCAACGACATCATTCACTTGGGTGTGCGACAAAAAACACCTCATGGAAGTCGCACTTGCTACACCGGTCGTACCTGTGTTGTGCTGTAGGTTTCCAGGTCCTTGATCAACATGTTCGGGTATTACACATTGGGCAACGTCCGTATTCGATGATGAACGACTGTCGACCATATTGGACCTTGATACGGCGTTCTGCCTAGTTAAATCTAGAATAATGCTCGAATTGATTAAGTATGAATGTCAATTGAAAACCACAGTGCTTCCATTTAAGAATTGAGCGGATCTTTCTACTCACAGTGATAGAGTACAATTGGGAAGCAGGAGTCATCTCCTCAGAAGTTAGTTGTTTTACGATGCAAACAAGATAATGCCTGATTTGAGACTGACCCACCGTACTTCAGCAACCGCTTTCCTAGCGCAAACTTGACTATCTCGTATTGCTGCGTTGCATCTGAAAGTGATACGATGTTGCTAGCCGCCGCTGCTACTATTGACTGGACAAGATAGATGGCAGTTTCCCTTCAAAAATGGCATTTCCAACCGAGTCACACGAATTTGATGCGATTTGTTCAACACGTACAAGCACAAACGTAACACTCAATCTGTTGAGCATCAAAACAAGCTCTCGGACCTTTCTTCCTACTGCCTGTTTCCGTTGACCGGTTGACGGCACGGAGGTTTTTGGGACTCCTAGTTCCAGCCACTAACAACCTGACGGACGGACACTAGACTTTCTATTTCAGATTTCCTGAGATGGGGAGGTTCTGGACCACACGTAAGTGGATGGCGTGGGGAATGTCCTGCAGACGCGGAGCGAGCCACGCAGAAAAGAGAGACCTCCCAAGCGTGAGGTGTAGGAATCTCACTCTTTGTCAACAAATCAAACGCGGGATGTTGGACAAGTGGAGGCGGGCGCGCGGCCTGGCCGCTTGTCATCGCATCGAACTCGAAAGTGATCGGCGGCGCGCCAGATTAGGAGATTCCAGCACGTCTGCGGCTTATAGCAGCTTCAAAGAATGCACCGATGATTGGGGGCGCCAGGCTAAATGTCTCACCATGGGGGTACCACTGACGTGCGCACCGCATCACGAAGAGTCATTAGAGCCGCTTCGAGTTAAACGCGCCCCAAGCCACACCCGTTGAGCTAAATCCCCAACGGAGAATTTCTGGGACGGCGTTTCGTGATATTCCTTTGTGTTTACTCCCTATGGGTAATTCTCCTCCATACCCAAAGTAGGTACAATGTCGCCATCATACATGTTCAAAAGGGACCCCTCCCTTACACTCGGATGTTTCTCCTTTCCACCCATGTCCCTTGATGGCAATAGCGCATCCAACATCGACGCAAGCAACCGATTCAGAAACGAGAGAGAGACAGGGAGATAGATAGAGGAGAGTTTAAAGATGTCGAAACCCCAGGACCGTCACCATGATCACGCCAACGGCCAGCACCACGAGATTCCCAAAGCCCATCTCAGCACCATGGGTGGACACCTTGTTGCCGCCTCCGGCGAGTTCGTCGGCACCTTTTTCTTCCTTTACTTTGCGTACGCCGGAAACATCATGGTGATCAAGCAGGGAACAGCCTCGGCCGGTGATGGCACACTCAGTAGCGAGGGCGTAGTTTTCATCGCTCTGTCGTACGGTCTCTCTCTGCTCGTCAACGTCTGGACGTTTTACCGTATCAGCGGCGGTCTCTTCAATCCCGCGGTAAGTTCATCAATCTTCAGAAGCACGGGAGCTCCCCTGCTATATTTGTTGAGCCTCATGCTGATGGGAGTGAGGATAGGTGACTCTCGGCCTTTCTCTCGGCGGTCAATTGCCTTGGATGCGGTCCGCTTTCCTCGTGCCGGCTCAGATGCTGGCCGCGATGTGCGCTGGCGGACTGGTCGAAGCCATGTTTCCAGGCCAAGTCTCTCAGGCAAATTCGCTGCTTGGAATTGGGACGTCTGTCGCTCAGGGACTGTTCCTCGAAATGTTCTTCACCGCGCAACTCGTCATCGTTGTTTTCATGCTGGCCGCCGAGAAGTCTCGTGATACGTTCCTCGCACCAATCGGCATTGGCCTGGCTTTGTTCATGATTCTCATCCCAGGTAAGATGAATTCTTTCGTGATCTCACAAGACAGGTGTCTGACATTCGAGTAGGTGTCTGGGTTACTGGCGGTTCCTTGAACCCCGCCCGCAGCTTTGGATGCGCCGTTGCAGGCAGGGCATTCCCCAACTACCACTGGATCTATTGGCTCGGGCCATGCATGGGAGCCGCTCTGGCAGCTGCGTATTACCGGTTCGTCAAATGGGCTCACTATGAGGAGGCCAATCCTGGCCAGGATCTACCAGCAGACCCGAAAGATCTAGCTGCGGCTCACCCGGGAAATCATGGACTACCTCATAGCTTGATACCCCATCGTCACGAGGTCTGATGATGATCGTCTCATGTAAAATTATTGATTATGTGTTGTCGGGATGGCATATTCTCTATGACTGGCGTTAATATGGTATTCGTAATGGCACTGGGGCATGAAGGACGGAAAACAGCATGAGGTTGGTAGCACACAGGGTTAATAGCATTAGGGATACCTCTTTAGGAAGATGAAATCTCGAGGTTGAATACTACCAGAATCTAACAATACACTTGTATTACAACCTGCTTTACAATTTCGATCGAGTACTTTGCTTTGACAACACCTCCGCAACATCATGCGCACCACCGCCCTGGCCGAACATCTCCCTCAGATCCTTGACCAATAGCTCAGGTCTCTCATGAGCAGCAAAATGACCGCCATCACCATGCGTGACAGCAAACACAACAGGACCCAGCGTCTTAGCATGGCTCATCGGCGGAACAATTAGGTCCATGGGGAAGATGGACAGGCCAAGCTTGACACGCGGCACCCATGTAATGTGCTCCGTATGCGGCTTGGGGTGCGCGACCTCGTAGTAAATCCGCGCGCTGGCCTCGGGGCCAGCAGTCGAGAACTGGTAGATGGAAATCCAAGTCAGGAGCTCATCATCTGTCCACGCGTACGAATCGGTCCAGTCGTGCAGCTTCTCAAGGATCCAGGATAGTAGCGCCACGGGTGAGTCGGCCCACGCGAGGCCCAAGGTCGCAGGCTTGGTGCTCTGCTCAAGGTTGTATCCGCGACCCTCTCTCTGAAACCATTGGCTTCGCTCGATGCCTTTCTTCTCCTTCTCAGAGTATGGGAAGAGGCTCTTGATGTACTGTAGCGGGTTCTTGAAGAAGGATGGCGGGCTCGCGGACACCATGTTGATGTGGGATGCGAGGACGTGGTCTGGATAGAGCAGGCCCATGAACCGGGTGATTCCGAAGCCCCAATCGCCTCCTTGAGTAACTACTCGATCGTTACCTCACATTTCAAGAGGTGCGCAAGTGCGAAGACTAACCATACTGCTCGTAACCGAGCTTCAGCATCACCTTGTGCATGACCTCGGCATACTGAGGCAGGCGGAAGCCTGGCTTGTCCGGGCCCTCCGAGAACCCGAAGTTGGGAAGTGATGGTGCTACGACGTCAAAAGAAAGACCATTCTTCTCCGTCGTCAATAGCGGGAGAATCTTGAGGACCTCGAGGAAGCTACCGGGCCCTGGTATCAAGTCAGTCATGGGCAATATGCGTGCTTAGAGTGAATGAGGTGAAACTTACAGCCGTGAGAAAAGAGAAGCGGCACAGCTCCAGGTTGTTTGCTCTTCTGGTGGAGGAAATGAATCTCGAGGTCGCCGAAGCCATCCACGGAGATGGTCGTCGTGAATTGCGGCAACTCATTCAGCTTGGCTTCAGCCGCGCGCCAATCGAAGCCGTTGCGCCAGCGCTGGGCCAACCTCTTCACCTCTGAGACCGGCGCACCATAGTCCCAGCTTTCAGTGAGCGCAGACTCTGGTGGAAATTTTGCGATATCGAGCTTGGCGTGGAGCTCTTCGATCTTTGAGTCTGGGATCTCTATCTTGTACGGCTTGATTCCAGTAGTCATGGTGATTGTATCGTCTCGCGTCTTGACTCTTCGAAGCTTCAATTCGGGATTGCGGCGTGAACTCTCGCCAGCTGTAGATAGTGTCTTGAAATGGGTTCGAGTCAGTTACTTCGTTGGATGCTTCGATGAGTCTGGACAGGCTGGACTATCGACGATGTTTTATCTTGACGCTTTACAAACACGCCCTTATTTGGACGACCCGGATGTGCATATGGCGTCACAATTGGGTGGTAGTCACTTGCTACAGTCTTACTAATCCATGTTCGCTGTTTCGGTGCCTCTAACACGCTGTGTGGCTGTCTTGTTGCATCGGGAGTGAGCGTGAGGGGTCTCCGAGGCCCAGCACGGTTGTTTCTACAGCGCTAAATGCACCAAAGTCCCAAACTCACTCACTGATGGTCTTTGAGGGTCTGACATCGTGGAAGAGCGATCGTTGCGTTGCGAAGGCGCGATGATGACAATCAACATGAAGGGCGTGCTGATAAATTGAAGCTTTCTTACAAATGAAGCTTGTTGGCATGGGTTTGGGCCAGCTCAGGACATTCATGTGATGAGTTTGATGCAGGAGTTAAGGCATGTGCTTGGACTCACTCACTCACTGAGAGTTTGTTCACAGACACTCACCTCACCCAAATCTCCAATGCGGAATATTTCTTTTGAATGAGCAAAATGACATATTTCTGGTAGATGATTCCAACAGCCGATTCTCAATTTCTCCTTCTCAAAACCTCTCATACAACATCACTTCCTGCTAGCTCTGAAATGGTCGTAGCTTATAACGGCTTCAAGCAGGGCCTGAGTGCCATTCGCACTGCAGCAAAGTTAGCTCACGGTTTTCACAACCCGAAGGGCGCATTCACTGACCAATCTTCCGGACTGCAATACTCCTCAGGGTGATGGCTCACACCGTCTTTGCAAGGGACGAAAATCATCGTAGTCGGACACCGCTTGCTCGTGTAAACGCTGTCATGCCCCGCGCCGCTCGTCAACGGCAGCCAGCCGTCCGGCCCAAAAAGATCAATCGCCGCGCTCTCCACGGCCTGGATGCACTCCTTATCAAACTTGACCGCAGGCGAATCGGTATCGAGGGTCCACTGCATCTCAACCCCGCGGCCATCCTCCCCAGCGATCTTCTCAAACGACTCGATGCATCGCCTCTGCACCTCTTCGACGACTGCGTCTTCGGGGTGGCGGATATCGAGGGTGAATGTGACCTCCGAGATGATAGTGTTGGTCGATGAGCTGGGCGGGATCTTGAGAACACCCGTCGACGCCAGCGCCCCGAGTTCCTTTGCGATGGCATTGGAGGCAGCAATCATCTTTGACGCCGCGAGCAACGGGTCCCTGCGGGACTTCAACGGCGTGGTGCCCGTGTGCGCGTCGCGGCCCGTGATGGTGAAGGTGAACCAGCGGTACGCCTGCGCGCCCTGCACGACGCCGATCTTCCTGCCGTTCTCCTCGAGGATGGGGCCCTGCTCGATGTGCAACTCGAAATGCGCGCCCAGAGGGTATCCAGCTGATGCGTCGCTTGAGCAGGCGAGGGGGCCGATGTAGCCGTGTCGTTCCAGTTCGGACTTGACGGTTACAGAAGGGTCGAAGATGTCGCCCAAGTCCCAGGCCTTTTCCCGCGGGATTTCACCTGCCCAGACACCGGAGGACATCATCGATCTTGGGAAACGGGCGCCTTCTTCGCTGTTTTCTGTCAGACATCATGCAATTTCTCGAAGTGGTTCCCGCACTTACTTGGTCCAGTTGACGATGCCAACATCAAATTGCGTCTTGAAGTTGTTGTCCTTTAGTGTTCTCATCACCTCCACAGCGGCCAGAACGCCGAGAATACCGTCATATCTGCCACCGCGGGGTTGGGTATCAAGATGGCTCCCCATGGCTGTCATCGGGGCGGAAGACTTGAGCGCCCCTTGACGTTTCGCAAACATGTTCCCCATCTCGTCGATTGAAAGTTCACAGTCAAGGCTTGCTACCTCATCAGCGAACCATTTTCTAACGCGAGCATCATCGTCGGACAGCGCCAGTCTGGCCATGCCCGTCTCTGTCACACCCCTGCCATCATACTTTAGTATTCATACCGACTCATCTGTTCAAGGAAATGAGAGATGGGAGCACATACTTTCCATATCGATGTGCTGCACCCCATTGGCAGGTATGATGAATCGTCTCTTGAAGCCTGTCGGTGTTGATCTTGAGTCCAGATAAGGAACCCCGCGCGGTTGAGAGTGACCTCAACTGGCGGGAAACAGACAGCACTGGCCTCAGGCGGGCGATCATGGTGAAAATGATGCTCTTAAGAAACTCAATATAACAACTACACACTGCAATCCCTTTTCAGTGAGAGCCAATGAGTCTCTATCAATTGCAAATGGTGGCAGACGCAGTTGGGTTGATGTAGGAGGGTGAAGAGAGATAGGCAAAGGCGCTGACCCCGGACCTTGTCTCCGGCAAATGCGCCCGAAACCGGGGTATCGCACCGGCGCAGCGCAGCCGTGGATGTAGGTAAACAGCAGCTATGGCATGTCAGCCGATTAGACGTCGTTCACACCCACTCATTGTCATATTTCTACGCCTTGAACGCCCTTCATGACAGGTTTTCTGAATCCGAGGTGAGGATATTGGCTAAGCTGAATCAATTTCAATCGAACTCTACGGGCTAGCTACCGCCCTATTGTGACACACCGACAGCATCCGACCTCCAAGTCTCCATCAGACCCATTTCTACCAAAAACGGCAGTAGAGCGAGCTTCTTCCCCATCAGTCACTCATCCCCAAGATTGCGCCTGTGCTCCTCCAGTCTGAGTCGCAGTCGGTCGACCAGGTATCGCAGTCGCCGATGAACGGACCATCACCCCAGTCTGAGATACGAAAGCCGCTGCGCCGGTGTACATCGTCGGCCCCGGGATCTTGTACGTCCCAATAGGCGATTGGGAGATATCATAGATCAACCCATCCTCCGCCGGCTTATACAAGTCCACGGCCGACGTTCCAGCGGGCTCGTCGCTCCCGCCGCCAGTAACCTCAATGTTGACACACTGGGGGTAGTGCTGTGCGCCTTGTCCTGGATACCTAGCAAAATGGAGGGCAATAATCTCATGTCGAAGTACGTAGTGACCCGGTTGGATCTTGGGTGGAATCTGCACCACCCAGGTCGCATTATTGCGGATGAGGATGTCGCTCGCCCAAATACCCCACGCCGTCGCGAAACTCGTAGCATTGAGACTCGGATCAACCAGTCCAACCTTGTCGATCGCGAAGAACGTCAACTTTGTCTTGTCGATGGATTCGCAGGATCCTCTGTCGATGCCGCAGAAGCCGAGGTACGTGATGACGGGGCCGTGGTGTGATTCAGGCCAGCCTTGCCATTGAAAGTCAACCGTGTCACCAGCAGCAACGGGTGCATGACCCTGAGCGTTGGTCGCATTGACATGACAGACGATGTCAGGTTTGCCGTAGCTCTCGGTGCTGATCCAACCGTCGTTCTTGACTGTGGTGCTCCATGCTGCGAGGATATTGGGGTTTGAGGATCGTGTGTTGAAGCCTTGGTAGGATGCACCGTCGATTACGAAATTTGTCACTCGGCTGTGGGCGGATACTAGAGAGACGAATCCAAGGAGGATCACTGCGGCGAGAAGCATGTTCATTCTTGAGTTGGCTGGGTTGCGTCCGTAACTCGTTGTCCAGCCCAACTCACGAGAAGCATCTGGACAGCACCTGGTGGGTGGGTGCAAGTGCACCTCATTGATCATATACGCAAAGCATTAGAGGCACTCGCCTGCATCTGCGAAAAGAGTGTTCGCCGGCCACCTGGCGTGGCTCCGAAATGACCAGGGAGTAAGTAGCAAGGTTCCGGCCATGTCGAGATCAAGTTGCTGTAACGACGGGACGCGATGGTAGACAAAGGTGCAGTACCGGAGGTTCGAACGACGTAGCATCTAGCCGGGATATTGCGCCATATTAATGAATCTGGTCGACCGCCAAGCTTTCAAGGTCAATTTGGCGGCGGCTGTCCGGGTGAAGTCTGATCGTGTGAGCTAAGCAAAAGCACTTGGTTTCTAAATAAGAGAATAAAGTAATCTAGTCTGAACCGTGCCCCTTGGATCTCGGAGGATGATGAGAACACGTCCCCTTCGAGATGCCTCCAAGCGCGGATGGGAGGGTGATCGACATCCGGCCGATTTACCCCACACAATGCATTTAACCTTCCGGGTATGACCCCAATCATCCCAAGAAATCTCCCTGTTTTCTGTTGTGCCGTGCTTCCTTTCTCATTAAAGAGATTCGTAATTGCACGAAAAAGACGGCCAACAAACGGCGATAACAAAATGGTGAGGTTCGCAAAAAGGATGGACGATCTGGGAATCGAACCCAGGACCTACCGCATGCTAAGCGGTCATTATACCACTAAACCAATCGCCCATTGGATGTTGGAAATCGTACGGTGAGCGGTCTTGAGTAGCCCCAGTCAGTTCTGCGACGTTTCTTGCGCCTTGTCTGGCAGCTAGAGACATGGCAAACTATCCTCATCTGCCATAACCACTAGAAGAGGACTCATCAACTCGCGTTAGTCGCTACGCTGGTGTACCCCTGATGTACGCTAGACCTGGCGCGAGCTTGTGAACGTGACTCGGGGCCACTGTGCTTCCTAGACTCCTGAAGCACCTACCTCGATCATCGTTGTAACAAAGCATCGCCGTAAGCTGAGACGGACGAGGATCGTAATTCCTCTGCTACGTTGCGTCAATTCAAGCTCCGTAGATTAGTTGCTGCCAAAGTTACCAAGCAGTCAGTACTGGATCAACTGATCTTAGTAATCGACATTGCGACATTGTCTTAGTTGCACGTGCTTGTATTGTGTAATGCAGTGCAGATTGCATAATTAATAGTTTCAGTGCACAATCCCACAAGAATGGTATTATTCGCATCTTCACATCATACCATGAGACATGAAAAGCACGGCTGCATCGCGTGACGAGATTCCTCTTTGAGATTTGATGTTACCCCGGCACTGTGGCGTCGAGCTGAAGATGCTATGCTCAGCGCCGCCACTGCAGTAGTGAGTCCCAAGCTGAACGCCTCACTACTTCAGGAATGCAGTGTGGAGAGATATATCTTATATCTGCATTGCGGCGTTTTGTAGGATTTGCTCCTCATTCTAAACCCGGGTTCTCGGAACTGAACAAGTGAATGCCAATTCCTCTGATCCAATTGAGTATTATGCCATTCCAATGGGTATTGATCGCTCCGAATGTCGAAGAGGATTCCACGCTGCGAGCTTAGACCCCAACTTTGCATCTCTGGTGTTGCTTCAATTCCGAGATCCACTTCACGATGTGTCCACAGTGAGGGCTTCAGCCTCTAAACTCACTCAACATGAGCATCGCAAATGACTCGCCATTCCAACGAGAAGCAATTCTCGGGTTTCATTGGTCTATTAGTCTAGTTGGTTAGGACGTCGGATTCTGATCTCTCAATCAGTTCCTTCCGTAAGCCCAGGTTCGAATCCTGGATGGACCTTTATTTTGATGCTCGTGACGATGAAGTGCACTGGGTCAATCTTTTTGGGCTCCATGGAACTCGTGGCATAAACTGAGCATCGAGGTTTGAACAATACAATTATTCATAGTCCACGTCCGGGTCAGGGGTAAAACACGGGGAAGTACGCTTGTGGCTTTTGTTTTGTACCATTCGGGCCGTGGCGTGGGATAGTTCGCGCCAGTTGAGATCGTAGCGCGGCGAAGGTTGTCTGGGAGAGGAGCAATTCCCTCTATTGCTCGGCCTGCGCCGTCTTTCCGGGGAACGAAAACATTACGCTAAGCTTATTCTTTGTACGATGGCTTGACCTCGAGAGCTTCCGAAAGGCCCGAATGGGCAGCTTTACGAAGGGCTCCATAGAGCTGAGATGCGCTCAAGTGCCTAGCTCAGCCCTAGATGCTGTTGGGGAAGTTGCGGATTGCGGCCCGTACTATTGATCCATGTCAAAGATGGTAAACATGGTATGACCTATGGAGAACATCAAGCCACGGAAGCCAGTGCCATGGTGGTATAAGGAGTCTGGGGTGCTCAGGTGGCAGATTAATCTCGGTGATACAAGTCTTGGCTAGATCTTCTTCGACAGCGATCCTATTCTAATCTTCAATGGTCCTTCTCTGTTTCCCGCTGCTTTTGCCATGAATCCTCGACAGGACTTTAATGAGGATACCGAACAAGCTCTTGGACCCGCTCTCTTCTCTTTCAACTCATTGACGACCTTGTGCGAAGACGAAGCCAACTCCAACCATAGCAGCGATGCCAAGGCCACACCAACTTTGAACTCGCCCTCAACATCGGAATCTGGACTAAATGAAAGCAGTGATGGAAGTTTTCCTGTACATCCCACTGTAAGCATTTGTGGAATATCTGGCAGTGGCCACATTCACTGACGGTGATTGCTTGTTTTAGGTGACCTGGGATGGACCGGAAGACCCAGAAAACCCCAAGAACTGGAATCGAAGACAGAAATGGACTGTGAGTATCATCCTGGCAGCCAGCAAGACATTGAGCATTAGTTGATTACAACCATAGACATCTTTGATCATATCATCGTTTGCGTTCCTATCTCCCCTGTCCTCATCGATAGCTGCCCCAGCTTTAGGACCGATCGGCCACGACCTACACATCACCAACGACGTTGAGCGTCAATTGGTGCTTTCGATATTCCTCCTCACATACGCACTAGGGCCTTTCGTGTTATCACCTTGCTCGGAGATATGGGGCCGAACGCCAATTGTACGAGTTGGGAATCTAATCTTTATCATCTCTACTGCCCTTTGCGGGTTTGCAGCATCCAAGGGGCAGATCCTAGCTTTTCGCTTCCTTGCTGGAATAGGCGGAAGCGCGACTATAGGCGTATGTATATCTGATTCTGAATGGGTTGAACTATGCTGACACCTTCACTAGATGGGCAGTGGCGTACTAGCTGACTGCTGGAAGCCAGAGGAGCGAGGCAAAGGCATTGCATTCATGCAATTTGCTCCCGTCTTAGGTCTCGCACTCGGCCCTATTGGTACGTTGATAACCCAGAAATCACCAACTCACTTCCTACATGGTATCACGTGCAGGTCTAATGATCTTCGAATATGTAGCGGGTGGGTATATTTCTCAATACGCTACCTGGCGCTGGACCTTTTGGTCCGTGGTCATCTTGAACTTCACGGTGCAAATCGTAGCCTTTATTTTCCTCAGGGAGACATACGCCCCACGAATTTTGCACCTGAAGGCTAAGCGAATTCGCAAGCTCTATAACGATGCATCCTTTCAGACGGAGTGGGAAAAGCAAGATCGCACACTTGCCGTCGTCCTCAGGACCAGTCTATCTCGACCATGGATCATGCTGGCAACTCAGCCCATCATCCAAAGTCTAGCTCTGTACCAAGCGTTCAACTTTGGACTGCTCTATCTCATTATCTCTAGCTTCCCGAGGTTATGGGAGCATTACTACGGAATGCACAAGGGGCAAGCGAGTCTGAACTACATCTCTATTGCCCTCGGCGCGTTGATTGGTGTTTTGATCTCCGCTCCGACAATCGATCTGATTTATCAAAGACTGAAACGGAGAAACGGTATTGAGAAAGATGAAAAGGGAGTCCCAGAGTTCCGAATACCCTTAATGGTTCCAGCCTCTCTTCTTACGCCCTGTGGGATAATCCTCTTCGCTTGGACTGCGCAAAACAAGATGCATTTCATGCTTCCCAACGTAAGAAGTCCTCCCCGATCACCGAAACTATTCGGTCTGCCTAACTAACATTGATCATCTGTAGGTGGGCATAGCCATCACTATTGGCAGCAGCATGGTCTCATACCAATGCATCTCGGCTTACATCGCCGACTGCTACTCTCTTCACACTGCCTCGGCCTCAGCGGCCTGTTGCTTCATGAGGTCCATGTTTGCTTTCGCATTTCCATTGTTTGTCCCAGCCTTATTCAGAAATCTTGGCTATGGCCTGGGTGGGAGTTTGCTGGCAATCATTGCAGTGGTCATTGGTGTGCCAGCGCCTTTGTTGCTCTGGAGATATGGAGCAAAGTTACGGGCTCTCAGTAGATTTGGTGTTGCTGAATAGAATAGTACTTCTTTATCTCGAGTCTCGAGACTCACTAGTTCTGCGCCATGCCATAACCGACTGATGTAAGATTCCAACACAAAATATGGACATGTCTAGCACAGAGCCTGCAACCCCATTGCCTCAATTATGACTCCGGAATAAACGCAATGTAGAAGGAGAAACCTTCGACAACTGCCAATGAGAAACTCCATTTTCTTCAGTGAAAACCGCCATCAAACCCCCTCAACTTGACGCTACGTGTATCGAGGAATTGGAGTTGGCTCAGGCTGGATATTGGCGGCGGTTTCTGGGTTTCTCACAGCCCAATCGACAGGTGGCTCCGTCATATGCCTGCCCTGGCCATTGTAATCAGATGCTTTGGATCGCAGTATCCTATTCTTCGTTTCCCTCTCCACGACTTGCTTCCAATTCTCTTCTAGCCTTTGATCGTACACAGCCCAGAGACGAGGAAGGTATTGAACATCCTGGATGCAGTATCGAAGAATTTCCGGAGACAAGGGCCGCTGGTTGAAGACCGCATAACTTCCGCCCGACTGCGGATTGAACAGGCTGTGCCCTATTGTCTTGACGGCTCTCCAGCTCAGACTTTCCTCCGGCGTTAGCGGGGCATTCCTCTCTATGCATCTTACCAGCCCTCTGAGAAATCCGGCCTTGTTGTAACGTGAGGCAAACTCCATAAGTTGAAGATCTTGAATCCCGGCCAGATTGATATCAAAGTGATGAAACAGAGCGTCCGAGTCGTTTCTAACATCAAAGAACACCTTCTTTACGTCAGGATTCTCCAAGAATACTTTGATCGTCTTGCCTGTCCTCTTGCCCGGGGTCGAGAAAGCCTTTTCGCCCAGACAGTGAATATCGAGGAGGTAGGTGTGTTGTTTTGGAGCCACATACAGCTGGAGGATTGAGATGGTGCCATGCCTACTGAGGTTATCGCCTTCGAGGTCAACATAATGCGATGGGATTGCATCATTGGGTAGTTCGCTGAGATTGTCGATCAAGATAGAAATGCCTTCTGTCGTATTGACGAGATCATATGCGAGAGGTGTCGTTGGACTACTGTGAGTAGTCGATACAGAGCCGAGGCTTGAGCCTGCTGCCTTGTTCTCATTCGTCGCTGACGCTGACATCTTGTGGCGATGCTGACGTGACAACTAGAATCTTGATCCAGACAGCTTGCATTTATAGGGCTTTTCTTGGGAGTTGAAGCCGAACCCTGTTTTGCTATAACCTGTGAGTGGCTTTACGCCTCGTCCGCTTTTATGATAATTTTCTTAATGGTCGACGTCACTACCAAGACTAATTTGAAGTTTCCAAATGCGTGAAACTGAACCCGCGCGCGGATACTAAATTGGTTTAGTTCTTAACAACCGTTGCAACTTCCCTCTCGCCTAATTTTTCTTGGCATCTACTGTTAGTGTAATAAGTGGGCTACCACCAAAATCCTTAACAGCTGAAAACCCTTCACCTCTCCTCCGGCGCCCTCCCGCGATGGCCTCGCAGCCTCCGGCGGGCTCTGGACCGTTGCCGACCTCCTCGGCCGGCCTTGATCGAGGCTCTGGACCCTCTTCAGAGCCGCCCCCATCCTCAAGGGCTAAACGCCGCCGCGAAACCGAGGCCCAGCCACCCCGGCCCAGCCTCGTGGGAAGCCAGCCCGACGCCCCAACAACAACCCCCTTAACGGCTAAGGGGCCCTCGACTATGACTGGGACAGCTACTGGAGCTGTCCTTACAGCTCTTAATGAAGAGGCTAAGCACTATGAAGCCCGAAAGGACGTCTTTATGGCTATTGCTCAGTCTGTGGACAACGTGATCTCTTGCTTTGAGGGGCCTAGGAAGCAGATTGCAAAAGAAGCTACAACCTATGTAATCCAAGCCTTGAAGAGGATTATGGGTAACGAGACTACGGCTCCGGCTCCGAGCCGGAAATGGACTGACGTGGTAGCCTCGGCTTCAACTACAGCCGTGGCCGTAGCCCCGACCCGTACCCGAATCCCCACCCGGCCCGAAGTCCAGACACAGAGTCTGACGGAGACCCGGGCCCAGGCTCTATCCCAACCGAAGGAGGACCTCCGGGTCTTTACCCGTATCCCAGAAGAGGGCCTAGCGGCTGCTAGGAAGCACGCCCCCTTCGCCCTACGCCGGACAGTCTGCCAGGCCCTTAGGCTCCAGCTGGCAGATATCCCACACATCTACCATATTGCAACTGGCTACTCACTGAGACCCCTGAATAAGCAGGTCCAGCAAGCCCTCCTTGCAAACAAACAGAAACTAGCAGAGTGTCTCGGAGCCTATAAGGTTGAGACCCCTACTAAGTGGTTTACCTACGTCGTCCCACGTTGCCCTGCTAAGATGAGGACTCTTGATGGCGACGCCCTTGACCCAGCTACTCTGGTAGAAGATGAGGTCCTTGCCCAAACAGGACGCAAGCCTACCCGGGCCCAGCAGTCCCGGCTAGGTGTAAACCCTATTACAAACGAAGTCTCCTGGGTCATCTCCTTCTCTGTGGAAGTACCACCCTTCAGACTGTTTAACCAAAGCAGCAGGTCTCAGCTTATCCAAAAGAAGAAGACCCTAATCAGACACGACCCTGGATGCCAGGGATATCATTCGAACCGATACTGTAACCGACAGCCGCTCTGTAGCAACTGTAGCAGGCCCTCGGGATCCCACGAGACTGGGCCCTGCATAGCTAGACCGAAGTGCGCCAACTGCTCCGGCCCCTTCCAAGCTAACCATAAGGACTGTCCAGCAAGGCCCCTAGTGGTTAATGGCTCCCCTACCCTCCCAGACCGGAAGGAACTCTCCCGGATCCGTAAGGCTGGTCAGAAGGCCTATGAGGCCCTCTATCAGAGCAGCCAGGCTGGCACCCAAGCCAGCAACACCCAGCAACCTAGCAACAGCCTAACGAGCCATCAGCCCGGCTCAAAGCGCCCACGCGCCCCTACCCCTATCCAGGACTCAATTGTTGTAGCGAACGTTAGTGATGCGGCTAGCTGTAGCAGCATGGATGAAGATGAGAACGGGGCTGAAGAAGAAGGGCTGCAAGCCCCTGACGACCCAGCCCTACCCCCCCTACCCAGCCAACCTACCCTAGCTACCTCAAGCAGCAGGGCTCAGCGGGTGGCGCAGAAGCCTGATTACAACGTTATTAATGCCTACACCCACCTCGACCTCGACTCAGAGCAGTAGGCTCAGGCCAGCCTCCCCACGGGTACTACGAGTCGCCCAGTGTAACGTGGGGAAGAGAAGCCCAGCTCATACAGCTCTCCTAGAGCTCTGCTGGGCGGATCAGATCGATATAGTACTGATCCAGGAGCCCTGGATAGGCTATAGAGATAAGATGCAAATCAACACACACCCAGGCTATAACTCTTATATCCCAGTTGACTTCTGGAACAACAGAGATACAAGACCTAGGGTTATGACCTATATACGCAAG